TCATTCTTTGGGGCTGCTTCCATCCTGCCGAGAAGCTCGTTTAAACTGAGTTGAATAACATGTGCCATACACGGGATTCGAACAATAGGGGTACCATCTGGTAACACGAGTGAATCAAGAGCTTTCATGATACTATCATGGAGCGTCGTGTTATTTGATGCATTGTCAGTGGTCATTGTTAAAACCCGATCTTCGATGTGATGTTTTTTTAAAAGATCCAAGAGGACAACACTAAGGTCGGCCCCTTTATGGCTTCCATGAAGTGGCTCAAATCCAAGCAAGATCTCACGGTAATGCCAGTCTATATCGATAAAATATCCGGTAATGGCCATAAAGGCTTGGCGGAAGGGCGAGGTCCAGCAGTCTAATGCAATAGAAAGCTTCGCACCTGACGGAAGCATCTGTAGAAGGCCTTTTTGGCGTTCTATCACTTTCGCCTGGATCTTCTGTCGTACTAGATATGCAGACAAAACCCGAGGCGGAGATGAGGCGAGACTAGCCAGTTTGACTAGTTTATGAAACCGAGGATGTTCAACAAACTGAAATGGTAGTCGTAACTCAGTAATTAGAGATATCACACACTCATCAAACTCCTCGAGGGTAAATTTCTCTGGCTGAGGGCCATTAAGTACCTAAGATAAACAAGTTAATTGTAGGTTCAAGGAGGAGTAGGCATAATAAAAATAAGTTCTAACATACCCCTGATTGAAGAAGCTTTCGAATATCCTGTGAGGGTTTCGATCTCCGGCAATTAACACCCTCCCGGACATGCTTATTTAGGGAGGATGTCCCACGATTTCCGACCGCGGGGTGGATGATAACCTGGCTGCATACTTTGCACATGACCTTAGGTGACCCATTTTGAATCATAGCAACCTGATAGAAGTGTTTCCAACAGTCCGCTTGGCGTCGTTTCTCGAAGATATTCCTTTTCATCTGACTTCCATACTCTGTCATCAACCACCACCCACAGAATTCATCATTCATCTCCTCAGTCCAGAGTATAAAGTGCTTCTGGTTTGTCGTAGGCCCAACACGTTCTAGAGTCGGTGGAACAGGAGGTACTATTAATGGTCGAGCGGAATCGCCGTCAGGTGTAAGGGTGGATGTCTGCTGAGATAGAGCACTAGGGGTAAAATATATTGCTCCGTCAGAAGGAATATCTGAAAGGTTATCTAGAGGATTATCCTCAAAGATAGAGGAAGGGTAGGTATCCGAGAACTGAGAGGCTTGACTTTGTGACATAGTGAATAAGTATCACTACTAACTTTAGTAAAGAGAAAGAAGGAGACTTACAGGGAGGAAAGAAGCGAGAAAGAAGGGAAATTAAAAGACGCGACCAGGAGCGCGAGCTGAACGACATTGTAGATATATCAATTCTAATATGGGCTAGGCGACCTACAGCCCTACTATATGATTGGCTTTAAGAGCAAAACGAGCCCACAATAGAACGGATCTTAACGGATTGATCCTGATCCGCCCTGGGAAAATCCTGACTGATCCGCCCCGCCCCGCCCTCCTAAAACCTTTTAGTATGTTTGAATTTGCCTGACTCTTTAATCCAAAGTATGCTATGTAGGCTACAGAGATAGGTATTTCGGTAGGAATCACTTATTAAAAACAAAGGAAGAAATGAAGTACCTTAGTTTATCAGCTAACTAATCATAAGGATATAATGATTTTAGAAGGCTTTGCTTTAAAATAGTTCAAGAAAGTTCCGAAAAAGTGTGACATGATACTTGGGTGAGAATATATATTTCCCATGTCATTACAACACCTCAACTTTACTTTAATAATTGGCTAACAACCAAGGTCGGAAATGATGTTACAACTTCTATTATTCAAATTCCATAGGTAAAATGATTTACATACGGTTTCAAAACATGAAATTTCAACCAAAAAATCACTAAATCTTAGGAGTTATGAATGCATTGACCAGAACAAGTGTATATTACAGTATTTTATTTAGATAAGTCATCATTTATATCCGCCAAAACAGGAAAGTCTTGGCGAGTTTATGCAAATCAGGATCGAAACGGATTGATCCTAATCCGCCTTGCGTAGAACCGCGGTGCGGATCCGGATCAAAGAATTCGATCCGGAAATCCGGCGGATCAGGATCAGGATTCAAAAGTTGGATCCGGATCCGCCCCATTTCGAGGTCTAAGACCGAGTCCGTTTTCTCTTTTTTTTCTCGTTTTCGGCCCGTAATTCCTTATTTTCCTTCGCTAGTAAGATAGCGTTATGCATTGCAAGCTAGCAGCCTTTGATAAGCTGATTTAAAGCGCGATCTGACGGGCTCGGTGGACTTCGCGATCTTGTACGAAGTAAAGCTTTAATTAAAGAAGCTTACCGACGTAGTTGTTTCTCGGTAAAAGGTGTTTTTAGGGTGAAATTACGGCTCGATTCGCTCCCTCGGCTTAGAGGGGGGTCGGGGTTCGAAGGCATATATTAAGCTTCGAGATCACTCGATCGGGGTCGTAAGGCACTAAACCGGCGGCGGCGAAGCTATTCTTAATAGTCTCTGGTTTAAATGCCTCGATTCGGGCGAGAGGGTATTCTTCGAGGAAGTCTAATTTATCGACGTAGTTGATTCTAGCACGCGTTTTCGATTCGATAAGCCGACCGTAAGACCGTTTTAACACCGTAAAACAGCCGATATCGAGAGGCTATAAAAGGTGAGACGAATACGGAGGCATACAAATTGGGATGATATCGTTTTTTCCGCAAATTTCGTCGAATTTCGGGGTTAAATGACTCCCGTGGCCGTCGAGTATTAAAAGTCTATACTTCCCCTTCGTACGCGAAGAAGTAGACGGAATAAAGAGCTTTTCGAGCCACCGAAGTCCAATTTCATCGGAAGTCCACCCGTTCGGACTAACCTCGAGGCGCCAATCGTCCGGAAGGCCGTCGAACCAAGACTCGACGAAGACTTTGCCCTTAAAAATCACGCACGGAGGAAGCGCCCACCCCGACGCGTTTATACATTTAATTGTAGTCACCTACGCGCGATTTCCGGGCTGTAAAAGTGCTCGCCGACCGTAGTATTCCTTTCTCGTAATAACCTTCGCGGTCGCAATTAAGCCTATTGCAAAACCGGTCTCGTCAAAGTTATAGATATCGTCGGAATCGATACCGTACGAAAGGATCGTTTTTTGGACGAGAGAAAACCATTCACGAATGATTTTAGGGTCTTCGCATTTTGCGCGCTTATAGTTATATTGCCTCGAGAATTGGGTTAAAAGGTCGGGATGCCTTTTTACGAAGTTATAAACCTATTTCTCGCCGACTATTTGAACTGGTATAGTTCCCCGCGCCGCGAGAAGAAGATTCGTAGTTTCTCGTATAGTAGATGGCCGAGGCGCTACTCCACGGTCATCAAGAGAGATGATCCATTTTTGAAGCGATTCCTCTTCAATTGCTGTTAGTTTATGGCTGTTAGCGCGAGTTTCGGTGCGTGTTTGGTGGCCGCGTAGTCGGTCTTGAAGAGTTATACGAGGTACGTTAAAACAGCGCGCTGCTTCACGAACAGAAGATATTTCTTGTTTCTTAATAGCCTGAATAGCTAATAAGAGCCTGCCTTCTTGCTCGATTAAATTTCGAGAGGATCGAGTACGAATTGGTGGCATGGTGGGTGGTTGAAGAAGAAAGGTCTAATTAATTGACGCGTTTCGCGCTAGGTGGCCGGCTGGCTTACATGGCCGGCTCGCTTACCGAATACGTTAGCATCCAAAGGGGGGTGGTAGTATCAATCCCCTATAATTAAACACGAAGAACTAAACTAGATACATAAATAAGTGTCCTTATATATCCTAAGTCCTTCCTAAGTAGAATAGTAGAAAGTAGAATAGTAGATCTAGCTTAGCAAGATCTACGCATCGACTATTGACCTTTCTACTACTTACATGATCACGTGGTGGTCGTCTCATTGGTTATTAAGGTATACAATAAGACGGCGAACGGAAGGCCGAAAGTGGCTCTTTTGTTACGCAGATCCTATCCGTCACATATAGGCACATATGTATAGGATAAAGTCTGCCGGGTGGGTCCGCTCAGGGTCAATCATGCCTTTGCTCACTAAGCGCTCACTAAGCATAATTGCGTTTCTCTTTTCTTTGAATACTCGGGGTGTCTAGAGTATAAGGTACTGCACGTGATCTAATAACAGATAGATCGGTTGGCTCTCGGTGGCCCATCAGTAAGTTGCGGCCCCATAATCGATTGGTGCCTGGTAGGTCCGTAACACAGCCAAGGCAATGTGACGCTTGACCAATATTCCTTGGCATATGTATGGCTAGAACATGCGGACAACCTTTTCAGAACTGATGAGCTCCTGAGTTCTAAGGTGCTTCTTTTCAACTTCACACCAGCTCACACCTCACAGGCCCGCCGAAGGCCAACGACGTCCAGAACATGGCATTACGTATGGTACCGTACATTACACGAAACTGCTTTACACTTCTTCCAAAGCATGCCCTCCAGATCATCGCCATCCTTCTGCAAAACCTGTCCCGAGAAATTGCTCGAACCATCCATACGGCACCGAGACCAAACCCCTCACAGCTACACTTTATCCGTGTATATGATACAAAGTCAGTCACTTATCTCGTCTCAAATGCTTAGAGCCTTGTCAAAACCAGTCATGCGGTCCCTGCTGTTCGGCTGCCCTTGCGACGCGCGACTTGGAAACTGTTGTGACGGCTCACACAGCTTCTACTGTCTTAGCCAGCAAAGCGCGCATTACCTTTCTTTCCAGCCTTAGGCCCTCCCAGTAGACGCGTTACACTGCTAAACGCGTCGCCAGTCTTCCTCTGCAGCGCCTGACGAAGATCACTCAATTTTGGAGAGACCACCTGGACGTGTATTACTGTCACTTGCGCACTGCAATCACGGTGGTGGTCGTCTCAGAAATTTTTCGAGACAACAGGTAGTTGTCCTCTCCGCTCCTCCTGATAAAGGGGCCTGGGTATGATTTTCAGGTGATGGGGTTCCGCCGCCATTCAAGGACTGTGAATGATAGACCTTTCAAGCAGCCTCACTACCGCCTCATTGCCATTCAACGCGGCCCAGGACAATGCTGTTCGACCAAGAGAGTCTTTTGTGTCCACATCCACCTCCCCAGTCTCCAGTAGCAACTTCACCACCGCTTCGTATCCATTCTGTGCAGCGAAGGACAACGGTGTCCGACCATCAGAGTCCTTTGAGTCCACATCGGCCAACCCGGTCGCAATTAACAGCTTCACCACCGCCTCATGGCCCTTCCCTGCGGCCTTGGACAATGGCGTGACGCCGCGGGAGTCCATCAAGTCCACGTCGACCCTCCCGGTTGCAAGTAACAGCTTCACCACCTCCTCATGGCCATTCCACGCCGCGTTAGACAATGGGGTGGAACCATCGGAGTCCTTCGCGTCCATATCCACCTTCCCAGTCTCAAGCAACAACTTCACCACCGCCTCACGTCCCTCACTTCCAATCCAAGAGTACCCACTTGCAGCCAAGGACAATGGTGTCCGACCCCGATTGTCCTTTGTGTCCACATTCACTCTGCCATCCTCAATCAACACTTTCACGACTGCCTCACATCCATACAGCGCCGCACTGGATAACGGTGTTCGGCCGTCGGAGTCCCTTGAGTCCGCGTCCACTCGCCTGGTGTCAAGTAATAGCTTAACTACTTCCTCGTGTCCTTTTAGTGCAGCCCTTGATAACGGTGTCCAACTTTTGTATTTTGAGTCCACATCGATCTGCCCAGACTCAAGCAACATCTTCACTACTGCACTATGCCCTTTCTCTGCAGCAGTGAATAACGGGGTACGGCCCCAGGAGTCCTTCAATTCAATATCTGCATTCCCAATTTCAAGTAACAGCTTTGCCACTGTCTCATGCCCGTTCACTGCAGCCAAGGTCAAAGGTGTGAAACGGTTCCTGCTTATCGCCCTAGTGTCAGCCCCGCCATGAATGCTTCTTTGAACTGTAGCCAATTTTCCATGTTCTGCGGCCCAAAGCAGAGCGGAACTTCCACAATTATTAGAATTGTACCGATAGAGGTATGGATTGAGGAGAGAAAAGAGCTGACTATTTGTTTGAGCCAAATAGTTAATATCTCTTTCTGTCTCCAGAAATGTTGCTATTGACAGCAGTATTTCCGTTGGCAAATGAAGAAGACACATTTTCACAACATTTCAACAACATCAGAAATCTGGATTGAGATGGCAAAAGGGAAATCAGGGATTGGGCTACTCAGCATTCATAAGCGGTTGAAACTGGCAGAAAGCTCCAGAGTTGACTTTATTTCGTCCGATATCGCAACCAAGCGAGAGTTCGGCTATCGACCCGTGGAAAACCCACAGTCCAGCCCACCCCCTCCTACTACCCCAACAACCCAACACCGAGTAGGCCTTCGAGAAGGCACGTCTATGCAATACTTTGCTGCGTAAATCGCTAACTCATTAACAAATAACTGTTAACTATTTACAGTTGTGATGTATTGTCAGGAGAAATCTGAATCGCATTAAATTTCTTCAGATCCAGAAGAAAGTAGGAAAGTGGGCAGGATCAAGCCAGATCGCCGGATCTCCACCCCAGCCCGCTTGGAACCCGTAGCTGGAACATGGGTTAGGGGGAATTGTAAAATTGCAGGTCTCAGCCAGCCACAGTGGTATCTGACGAGTCAATACAATGCCAGTGTCCATTTTCCCGACATCTTCCTCTCCTCAAGGTTCCTGTAAACAGCATGTTGGCCTAGTACAATAAAGTCAGTTCTGCTACAGCCCTTCACGCAATCTGCGCGTATGTTTGGTTGTGAGCGCGTAGTGTACAAGCTGCAAGACGTTGATCACGAGACGCCCAACAAGTGCTAGCCCTAGGTGTCTAGGGCTCCCTCTAGGGGGTTGTCTAGGGGCATGAGTAGTTGGGTAGTTGTAAGTAGGTAAGTAGGTAAGTAACTATCTAGTGCCTATGAACACAAATACTACGCAGCCTCCTGTTTTTCTCTATCAAGTCAAGACATTCTTGTTCGACGAGTTTCTCAACTCTCCATTCTTCGTGTTCACTAACCAATTCAGCGACTTAGTGCATCTTGCGAATGCCACAAAACTGAATTTGGTCACTAGATTGACGTCAGTCTAGGATTTGGCGCAAGCGTAACGTGGCCGAAACGTGGCTCAAAACATGGGTATTTAAGGGCCTTCTTCGTATAGTGATTTAGTCTCCACAATTAGCATTTACAGCCCTTGAAGCCCCGGAAGGGCCCATCCAGGGAGCTACATTCAAGGATAATGCAAAAATCGGTCAATCAGACGACATCGACTAACCTTAACTGGTGGAAATGGGAGACAAAACCGCCGTCCGCCTCGAGGTACCACGATTGGGACTACAGGTTCAAGCGCAACGCCAAGGACCGCTATTATTCTCCTTTCCATGCCGACGCGGAACGTGCCTTATTTGCCCCAACGTTAAAACATCTTACACCGAAGATTACCGCGTCTTCGGTAGTTCACGACAATGGTACTGGTGGTGGCGCTGCCACTTCAGTCATTCTCGACATGCTTGACCCTAAGTTTCTGGATGAAATTCCAGAGATTTTGATTACCGACACTTCCAAGCTAGACGTAGCAAATGAGTGCTATAGCCAGTGGAGCCCCAGAATCACGGCTGTCAAGGCCGACTCTCAGGATTTAAGCAGCATTCCTAATGGGAAGTTCACTCACTCTATTGCCATGTTCACGGTGTTCCATTTCCCGGATGCGCCTCAAAGCCTCCGTGAGATTTACCGCACTCTCCAGCCCGGCGGGGTCGCAGTGCTTCTTGCATGGAAGCGATCTGGATGGTGCTCGGTTGTCCACCAAGCGCAGAGCCTTGTTCGCCCCGATCTGCCTCTTGAAATCTTTTCCAACCTAGACTTCAGTGGAGAAGTTGTGCTGTTCAAATTTGTCGTCGAGGCTGGATTCAGCGAGGCAAAAGTGGAAGTGAGACAAGAGAGAACTGTACGGAAAGGCGAGCATATCGAAGAAATGAAAAAGTTCATCTTGTGGGATGGGTTTCGGGATGCTATGACAAAAGGCTGGACTGATGATGAGAAAGGGAGATGGCCCGCTGCCGTTGAGGAGGCCATCCAAAAAGATGTTGAACAATATGGAGGGGTTTTGTTCGAATCCTGGACTGCAACTGCGTATAAGGAAGCCAAGTAAGCGTTGGTTTATCCAGTGAGACTGGATTGCGCACCTAGCGGAATATCTTCCGGTTGGAGAGTGATCCTGTAGTATGATGCAGCGGGACTCAATTGAACAACGCAAGCGCCCCTTGAATGACTCCTCATCTTATCATTCCAACACCGCTTTCTTTGTATATAATGTCAAGAACAGGCTAGACGTTCCTCGCAGGATGCCTGTACCTATTGATTGATTGGATGGCTAAGACTGCCAGTGAGTATATCGAAATGAGTGTTCGATAGAAATCTTATCTCCAGGCCTCATTGTGGCTGAGTGATTAGACGTCGTTTTCGTTTTCACTTTGTCTATATAAGTCCACATTCGTGCAATTGCTATCAAAGGTACTATTTTGCTAAAGCCGGAGCAATTCGATTTACGGGGAATCGCACCCAATCGACAAACTCGCGCACACTCACGCAACGGCCTACCCATCATTTCGCGAAGCTAGGCAGACAGCTCGCAAAAAAAAATGGCGATTCCATTCGCCGTTAGTGTTGGAGTTCTTTCCACAGTCTGGGGACGTCTCCAGCCCCGCAAGATGCACACCGATGAGAGGGGATTGGTGCCGAAAGATGGCGTGGTAGGCTGCTATAGTATCCTACACTGAGGTTTTTTCGCTGGCGTTGGAGGCTGTAGAGCAGCAATGATGGCCTAAATAGGAGTTATTAGAGCGGAGACAATCCAGCTGAAGGGATTGTAAATTCACCTGATCAAATATATCATTCAACCCGTCTTGGGAAAGTGCAGAGCACTCCACATACTGGAGCCCTAGGCCTTTTGCCATTCGCACGCCGTCTTTATACCGTACTGGTTGCATCTTCATCTTCGCCAGCTTGCGTTTTGTACTCGGATCATCCCGTAGGTCGGTTTTTGTGCCAACGATCAGACATGGCACCCCTGGACACATGCAGCGGACTTGCGGTACCCATTTTTCACGAACAAGCTCAAACGAGCCAGGTGACGCGATAGAAAAACATACAAGGCACACATTGGTTTGTGGATACCAGAGTGGACGCAACCGAGTGTAGCCTTGTTCGTCGGTGGTATCCCATAATCGCAGCATGCGCTCTTTGCCCACAGTCCTGTAATGAGATTAGCACGTACATTCACCACTAAAATTGTATAGCTCAATGGACAAAGCGAAAGTCCATGCTTATTTCTTGATTGGAATGGTAGACCGAACCTACATTATAATAACGTCGCAGGGATCGAGGAGGACTGGAACATCCATTGACGGAAATTTCTTCGTTGTATAGGAAATGAGTAGAGAGGTCTTGCCTGTCCCATGGTCGCCCAAAATAACGCATCTTAGACCGATCAGCAACCACCGTGACAGAGAACCACCATCAGAAGAAGCTCAGCTACTTACTTAATTGCAGTATCGATGCCCATCTTCAATTCTGCTTAGACAATGTCGATACAGTATCCGACCGATACGGGATAGTTGGTCAAACTTCCCACAGAAGTAGAAACGGTGAGTTCTTGTAGTTTGGGCGTCTCTTTGTCGCAGCCAGAAAGGCTCCTCCTTAGCAACCAATGGAGTTTTGTGTTTCCTAGGCTTGTCTGATAATCAAACATGAAGGAGAGTGAAGAAGTGGGATCAGAGCATGAGTTGGACCTTGAATAAGTTCCCCTCTCAGCTCGTAAATAAGCTTCCTTGGGTGTTGCATCTTTGGCGAAGTTTCGTGTAATATACAGTATTGTACGTAATTCAATTGTCTTGAAATAAAAAGATCTATCTTTAGGAAATGATTAATTACGTCTTAGCCAATTACGTATTAGGGTGGTTTCGGGTACAGGCCGAGAAACAAAGAGTGAGTGCCCAGGTAAACTTTTTTCGAAATCTACTATACTTTTCTGAAAAGACTGCGCTCTTTTCGGGTACGAGCCGGGAAACAAAGTGCGTGTGCCCGAGGGGTAAACTGTTTTCGAATTCTATTATACTCTGCTGATGTTAGGTGGGGCACTAGGAAACAGTGTTAGAGAGAATGGAGGTAAAACTGGTTTCAAATATTACTGCTGAAAACCGGTATCTAGTGAAAACATTATTGTGTTGTGTGCTAAGCGGGAGCTAACGCTAGACGAATAGCGGACCTACCCATGGGGGCTCCCGAGCCCCTTACTACTATGCACCTGCGATGCCATCAAAAATCAATGTTTAATGCTCTCTGATTCCAAGCCTGCACCTTGTTCCTTTTCCGATCATATGATTATTTGCTGCATTACTCCATTGGCCACAGCTGGTTTTTGAGGCATTTTGCCTTATATCTTTGCACTTAAGGCACATTGAATCTTGATTCATGATCTCTTGCCTATGCAGAGCTTAAAACGCCGAATTATCGAAGGGGTTTTGAGGACCATGCGGTAGCCCGGAGCTTCTGCTCGTCGGTAAACAACGCGCAGACTTGGCGAGTTCGCACAATCCACATCGACTCTACATAACGTAATCTACGACGTTGCATTGGTGTGTTTCTTGCTCTGGACGATCTAGCTATTTGATACTGAGGGGCAAAGCTTTTCGCGAATCGTTTGTCCCGCTGAAACCGACCGTTGGGCATGTTTTGATATCTCCAATGTCCCAGCCGGAAGCAGATAACTTATCCAGGAATTCTCTCATTTCTCGGGTGAAAACGAACTGGTACAGGAAATAGTGCATTGTCGATTTTGAAAACCGAAGTGCTGGAAGAATGTGACCTATGTGTGATTTAGGTCGTTGAGGTTTAAGTCAACCAGATGCTGGTATTCAGCTGGAAAAAGGTCAGGTTGTCGTTCATAAGCTATGGGATACATTCCTTCGCGTACTGTAGCAGGAGCACCAACTTTTGGAAGCACTTAGCTCGCACCACGTTGTTGATGCACCCTGGAGGAGCGATAGAGAGGAGAGGAGAGTTGAGATAATTGCCGTGATTGAAGTGAACTGAACTTGAGCTCTACTCCAGGTGGTCGTTTCTATTTAACTGAAGCCATTCTTATTTATCGGGGTCTTGTTATAATTTCAGCACAAGTAAAGGAAAGTACTTTCGCTTGGATTGCTATGTATGTAAATATGTCACTAACAAACTATAACTTTGCGAACTGTCCAGTCCATCACTCTAATTAGTCAACCAACCACCAACCCGCGATGCTTAAAGGGATTTGAGAACTTCTGCAGCGGCCTGTTTCCCGCTAGTGTAGGAAGAGTCGACCTGATCAGTGACAATGCCGGCCCAGAACAAGGTTCTGCTGACAGGCTATAAATTTCCTGAATGCCAGTGAGGCTTTCCGAGTCTGTGAAGGTGGCGCGAGAAAGGGGATCCTTAGCCCAGTCGTGTTCCATGATCTTAAGTGGTTCAAGCGTAGCATCATCCGCGATTCCTCGGACAACTTCGAGGAGCTCCACGTAGCGCTGCTCTGCGGGCATATCTAGTCTAACAGGCGCTTAGCCTCCTCCCCTTCGGCTCCAGCGAGAATAATCCGTCCCGAATATTGATGGTTCCCCATAGCCGCATTTATAAGCCACAACGTCTTTCCTGCTTCGATAACTTGATCGGCGCCATTCGGGAACACCGTTCTGTTAAACTCCATAAGAACCTTGACAGTCGACTCATGCGGCACTGCTTTGAACGCATCCAGTTTCTGTTTTGGTAAGGTTGGAGAAAACTCCACAATACCAGCATTCAAAACTGCGACAGGTAGCGCTACTACCACGGCACGAGCTGAGTAGGTATCTCTATACCCTTCTTGCTCAGTATGGACTATAGCAGAACCTGGTGAGTACTCCACGTGAACCACAACTGTGTTGAGGTGGATAGCTAAGCAGGGGATCAGTGGAGCAAGAATCTGGCTGTAGCCACCAAGAACTTGGTAGTTATACGGATTCTCAATTTTTTCCTCCTTCCATCGGCCGGCTACACTTGTTCTACTGAACGTGTTTGTATGAGTGTAAGTCATTAAGCCTTGCTGGCGGACCAAGTCCCATGTCGATGCTTCCGTGTTGTTGGTATACTCTCCGCCGTGGATGAATTGTGCTCCAAGTTCGATTGGAATTGACATAGAGTCATAGTCAGTCCATAAACGACCGCCGATACGATCTCGACCTTCAACAACAATGACCTTTTTGCCGGCATCCGTCAGGGCCCGAGCAGCGCTCAACTCTGAAATTCCGGCACCGATAACAATAACATCGGCATCGGTTTCTTTCGTCCCAATGCTGATAATCGTTAATAGCCATATAAAAACAGGTGATTGGGAATGACAGTACTTGGTTTCTGCTCCGTTTAGTGGAGTGGCATGAGCTAGGCCCGAGGTCATCATCGCGATACCGACGACTAGATGCTGCAGTACTTTATACTGCATAGCACTAAAATATTTCAAATCACAAGTGGTGTTTATGAATCTTTTTCAGTTTATCATGAAATTTGTTCCTTCCCAGTTTACAACGCCCCTTATATATCCTAAGTCCATCGCATTGAAACAAACTGCCAACGTCGTGGATCAAGTGACATATTAGAGTGAGGCTGTGCATAACCTATACACTCGGTATCCTCGGGTCCCGCCACATCTATAACGCAGACTTACATCTGTCCTCGCAGCTTTCGGAGCGCTCGGGGACCGCGGAATAAACCATTTGCTTCCAGGCTACTAGTCGTTTCCACTCAGGGTAAAACCGCGCTGGGCAGGGTTACAATAGGAACACTCGGAGCATTTACAAACAGGAGGACCGGTAGAGGTTCACTATACACATACAAATTCCATGCTAGTTAGGTTGCAGGCTCGGTCAAAACGGCCTCCGAGGGCAGCGATTAGTGTCTCGGCATCCAACCTCGACTAACCGGCCCCACGTAATTTTTACGAAAATTACTGTACCCTTGTAAAAAGTACGTGGGGCCGGTTAGGTCGCGACTAGTAAGGCTTGGCGGTACCGCGGATAAATAGCATTTCAGCTACGCTATTCCAATAACGATAAGCAATCATTGATGACTCCTGCGTCCAGAAAATCCTACCACATCTATTCAGATTTACAATATTTTTACAATGACTCACTGTAGCATGAAATCCAATGCATTGAGACGAACGAAGTGAAAGGAGGGTTTACCTTCGTGGACTGGGAATACCCTTGATGAAAACACTTTATCTATCGGGTGGCTGTTAGTCAAATCCTGCCGTTGATTTCGCTAGGTCTGTCTAATGCTGTCATATCATTGGCTATCTCTTCTCTCCACGCTCTCTTCTGGTTTGGTTTTCGTCTTGGGCCTGGCACTAGCGTCTTTCTCTCGTCTTAACTGGCTCTTTCGTCTTCACCCCTGACTTGCTTTATATACGTATCTAGTGCTAGGTAGTCAAACGAATACAATCTATATATTATCTTATCAAGTAGGATATCGTACTAAGCTTCCTAGAACTCGATACGCACCGGCGTTCATCTTCTGAGACGACTCCTTGTTGTTCGATATGAAGGATGCGCCGAGATACCCGTGAAGGAAGCTCCAGTCCTTCAAGTCGAGATGTTTGCTAACCCTAAGATAATGTCCGATAGACTAAAACTGGGATGTATCGAGCTGTCTCTCGCGAGGGTGCTCATCACCTCTTTGCTGACGGATTTGTTGCTTTTAAATTATACATCATCAACTAATAATATTCCGTAATAATCTGCCCAAAACACCTTTGGAATGATGTATGCCGCGACGATCAATGTAGGGGGCAGTCAGGGGCGAAGGATTATGACAAGGATTGAGCTCTCCATGACGTAGGACACAATTTTTGGACTTAAAGAATATTCAATTGGCGTGATCGAACCATACATAAGGTAGATAAACTCAATCACAGGGTATACTTGAAAAGTGGGGACTTGTCTCCCATGTCCAGAAGCTGTTCGTCGCTGTATGTGTCCCGTATTTCGGACTCGGTCATCATCCCGTTGCGTTTATTGGCATAAACGAACGAGACTTCAAGAATCAATGCTGCCACAAGAGCTGACCCGCCAAAGGCCAACGATAAGCCAAAGCCAGTAGGATAGGTGGGGCCCTCGCGATCAAGATACATGTAACTTCCAATTATCCCTCCTATGTTGCCGACACATATGTTGAATGCGCTTCCGATAGCACGGCGATTGGATGGTGCCAAATTGTTCATTGTCCACGAAGTTGTCGCAGGGTGAGTTGGGTAAATACCCATACAGGTCAGAATGATTGCGAAGAAGCCTGGCCCAATGTGAGCTTGAAGTTGACCCTTAAGGCCCATAATGATAGAGTAGCCGGTAACGATGAGGAGTAGCGGAACTACAACAAATGGCATACGCCAGTAAAATCGGTCGGACAATGTTGAAAAAAGACTGCGGATATGGCACCAGCAACGTAGGGAGGAACTGTCATAAGTTGTGCATTTGTGCCTTCGAATCCCATTCCTTTCGTGATGGTAGGGAGTGTAAATTTTGTTCCTTGTTAAAATTCATCAGCTGTGCACCTTGTCTAGTAGAAAATGGTGGACAAACCATAGGAACATGCAGATTGACACAGCAGAATGTAAGCTAGCAGATACATTCGCCAGTTCAACATTACAGCTCGGATATCTCCCCACGAAGTTCTCTTCTGTTCTTCCTTGAACTTCCCGCCTTCCTTGATGAAGTGCTGTAATTCCAGGTAGCGAATCTCATCATTATCAAGCCATTTTCCGGATAGGTTGGGGGAATCAATAAGGAAGAAAAAGCATAACACACCCAGGATTACTGTTAGTAATCCCTCGAGCAAGAATATCCACCTCCATCCTTCATAGCCACCAACCCCGTCCATCTTGGCGATTCCCGCCGCGAGAAGACCAGAAAATGCACCAGACAAAGCGCTTGCACAATAAAACAACGATATGCGGGTCGCGAGATCCCTCGGCATATACCACAGCGAACATAAGTAGACCGCACCGGGAAAGAATCCAGCCCTAGCGTGGTTAAAGGTTAATTGGCAAGGTAAATGTCAGATTCGACGGGCGGGGACAATGTACTCAAATATTCCCAGCAGGATTCGCACAGCTAGTAGACCTCCAAAATTTTGTACAACACCGGTCAAGGTCATAATGATTCCCCAACTGACGGTCAAAATGCCCAAGTAATGGGAAGGCCGAGTGAAAGTCTTGAGCAGTATATTACTTGGTACCTCTGGTTCCAAGTTAGCCTGTAGATCCGTTGAGAGGAATGTTCCGGGCTTTGACTCACCAAGAAGGACGTATGGGATGAAAAAGAGACTAAGTGCGATATTGTACTGAATGCCACTTAAGCCCAGATCCTCCGTCAGTCCAGCAATTTTAGCGTTGCCTATATTAGCCCTATCTAGGTGTGAAACCAAATAGAGCACGGAAAGCATCGGAACTAGTCGAACATCGACCTGCCAGGCACTTGCCGTTAGTAAGTTTCCCTAAAGCGGGGCGATGGGACCATGCCTTCCGTAGAACCCTTTTCTTTTTTTTTGTATCGAAATTGCGGTAAAATTCAGCGTCGTCTGGAGCGAGGCCCAACACCTGGATGTCGTCAATGCATGTAATATTCGAGCAGTCCTCCACATTTTCAGCCTTCCCTCGCTTTTCATCCTCAAGTTCATCTAGAGATGCTCGGCGTGGGTGTAAAAAAGACATGGCGATGCTGCGAAGTCAGGAGCTCAATTACTCAAGGATCTGTTTGTTCAACCCAACAGAAATATTGCGGTTGCGCTTATATATGTACCAAGGGTGGCGGAAAAGTGCAATGGCACCTAAAAGTACAAATGGGGCTTGCGGAAAAGTGATTGATTGACAAGTTCCAAACGCTGATAGAAGTATCCTATCAATCGAGGTCAATATTTTCGATCAGCTCGCAATGTTCTTGGCAGCATCGGCTCCTACACAGCTGGGTGGAGTGCCAAGGCTTTCTTTGTGGCTAGAAACAGTTCCCCGCAACAGCCCTTCCCCGCAGTTTACCTCAATCCGGGGTACGAAAGGACTAAACAAAATCAGAAAAGCAATTTTAGTGCCTCTTTACCGCTCAGGTGGTAAAAAGTAGGGTTATTTTCTTACATTTGTCTGGCTGTGTCAGTTATCCGCTCCACCCCACTACTTATCCGCTCTTATCCGCCAAACACTTTCCTCTTATCCGGACACGGATCTACTGTTACGAAATTGTCCATTCAAGATAATATAACTATAAGAACAGTTGTTAGGGTCTAAAAAAAAGTTGGGAAATCATATGCCTAGGAGACCAGGGCTTCGTTGTTCGCTGGAAGTATTGGGTAGATTCCTCACCGTAGGTGAATTCATCATCATATTTATCCCTTACTTCGATCGAGTTCTTTTCTTCATATATGAATTGTGTAAAACGAGTATGATATCGAAAGCATATGTTTCAGAAATGGTGGCATCCCTGCACGATCGTGTACGTGAAGTGGTCAAAAGGTCTTGACAAGGGAGAAAGAAACAAGCAATAATGTAAGTTTATTGGTTGAGACGCGGGCGGGGAAGGAGAGAAGCTCCGACCCCTCGAGGACTATCCAACTACTCTCAGGACCATTCAGGATCACGTGCCATGGTTGGCACGTGATCTCCACAAAAGGGCACAGATAACACGGCAATTTAGTGTCACAAATTTAGCTGCGGTTTTTCATTTGTATCTTTTAAGTCACGTGAAATGCTCGATTTTGCTCAAAATTCCATGATACACTCTAGGTACCCATCAGTTCGATGCAAACCACAATACAATGTATTTATTTCGTTTCTGGTGATTCAGGTATGAACTTCCGTGTCCAATCATTTTTTTTACCGATGCCAGCAAACCTTATCAGGGAATGGCTTAAGAAGAAATCAATATTTCCAGTAAAAGCCAGGCAACATACTTCTACCCGACGCAGTGCCGTATCTGAAACGAGGCACAACAAGCTCATTCTAGCGGAATATAACCTCCAGGCGCGACTTGAAGGTGTCGATTGATAGGCGTTTGCGTGGCAGTTCTAGGCCCTAGGCTAATGTTTTTGAAAGTAATGCAAGATGAAACCGCAAACAGCATTAACTACATCTTTTTATAGTGGCCTTGAATGCGCAATTTCTGCAAATTTTGATCACGCTCTTCACGGTTGTATCCATCTGAAGCAACCGGTCCCGACTTAAAAGAGTGAAATTGTATCCGAGAATACGACAACGGTTGCATTGGCTCTGATCGCAATCATCGTTGTTAAAATGAGAGAGGGGTTCGTATTAGTTCGGAGATGCATGACCTATCCCGTCAAGGTAGAATATACATAGGCCATTCCCCTCACTTTCCGCGTATATAATAATTGTACGTAAGTGTGCTCCCGGTCTATGTTTGACATATATACCGAAATGCAACGCAATGATTCTAGAGGCTTCCAAGTCCAACCCACCGATACATTCTACCTGTAAACCACGAGGAAATATAACATTCCTGGAAAGTTGGGTATATAAAACCTTTAGTCACGATATTTCGGTCTTATCAGGTAGATTTCTACACCCTCTCCCGCTCGAAAAGGCACGTCTAAAACCTGAGAAATGGAGAAAGACTGAAATATTCCAAATGGTTTGCCAGAATCCTATGACTCTGAGAATGCTGGCGAACGAGATATGTAACTTTGGTCAGTAAACATGACTGTCAGCATTCATGGAGGTCTCTGAGAATAGCAAGCATTCATTCGACTACTAGGTGTGAATTTCGGAGGTCATTACTTACATACAGCGATCATCATTGCTGTTTCTTATTACATGCTTTGGGCTCATTGCTTCAGCAGCGGTTCTCGACGGTCCAGAGAGCAACGAGGGATTTGGTCTTTATCCAATAACGTTAGACCTACTGGCGTGGCTTCAAAATATCTCAATACATTCATGCTATCTTTCTTTTAGCTTCTCACCTCGCTAATAATCATGCTAGCAACACATCGAAGCATTATCAACCTGCCTCCTGACACGCACAGATATACAGTTAGATTTTGGTGACGAGGAACCATGTAACACGCCAGTAACGATCTCGAGCAGACCCCTTGCATCCATTTTATCCACTATAGTTTCTAACAGTTTGGCGCATAGTGTGATAAATTGATGGCTGACCTCACCTAACAGATGGAAAACGCGCTCGTCCGTATGACACAGTAGAGCCACTAGCCGAGGATCTAGGTCTCACCGTCGACACTTCCTGTGAGGGACGATCCAAGGTGTGTCAAAGACGTGGTTGCGAGATACAATGGATCAGGCAATATCCTTATATGTTGGGAGCACGACGCTTAACGGACATCGTGGAGAAGCTTGGTGACAGAGATGCGCCCCCGTATCCAGATGACAGGTGAGTCTACAAATCTAGTCAGGCATCTTTCGAATATCGTGTTGACTTCAAGCTAGCTACAATATCATCTGGACTGACCCATCTCCTTATTCTGATATCACCGCCAAGACCAGCGAAGACTGCCCTGGTTTGGATAACTGAAGCGTTTGGCACAGACTTGGTCAAGAACCCCACTTTCGTTCATCTTCCCACTTCAAATAACATATGGAACGGTCCGTAGCTTCATTCTTAAGTGCATGAGCAACATTTATCGTTTCGAACGAAGACATGAATATTTGACGAGTTGATAAATAGACTTGTATTAATCGTACCGAGCTACGTGGCTTTCTATCAAGTAAAGAGGTAAGAAGGAGAAGATTTGTTGTCCTACAGGTAGTCCAATCTTCATTAATTGATAGTAGACTTATCTTTATGTATAGATCTGCCTGTGAAAATGTACCCTGGTCGTCGTGTTCTCGCCGTGCGTTCTCTAATTTTAACCCATAATCCATCAAATAAAGCTCAAAAGGGTACATTTATCCATCTAGCTGGAAGGCTATTTTAAGAGAGCACAATGGAGATGCCCTCGAACGTGTACCAATTAGTTCTATGACTCGCTCATTATTATTATACTTACCGCAGTGGATTCTTCGCTCATTTTACTAGATAAACCAAAAGCAGCAATATTCAGATACTAAGTAGTCGTAATTGTAAACTACGTGTATAGAGCACAGAGGTATCTTGATATTTGATTTGGGGTATTAAGAGGAATAACTAAATATCACTAAACTGTTAATCAGTGCCTAATGGTTTTAAATGACGGCAAAGTAGCTCATCCATGTGTAGCACTAAGGTCAATTAATGGAACAACCAGATAGGATGTGGAAGGTGGCCCGGGTCTCAAAACGCTACAAGCATCACACCAGGGATTTCACTGAGTGCCAAAACGTGGACCCTATTCAATCTGGGAGACTGAAGTCTCTTTCGCGACAGACTTAGGGACCTGAACATTCCCCTCCTCGGCGTTGAGGTCGGCGAGTTTCTCTGACTGAATTGCTCCTTGCTCCAGCTTCCGAACATGGTGGAATTGAACTGTGGTCTTCCAGGGCTTGAGGCCCGGGGTTGTGAACATTGTTTCAACATCCTCTAGTGTCTTTCCGGCGGTTTCAGGGAACGCAAAGAAGACATGGACCGTCATAGCAAAGCAGAAGACGCCGAATACTAGATATACCTTCCATTGGATGTTCTCGAAGGCAGGGGGGACGAAATAGGATAGAGCAAAGTTGAAAATCCAGTTTGAGGATGTCGACAGCGCCACAGCCTTGCCACGGAGGCGCAAAGGGTATAGCTCAGGGGGTAGATCCAGCTGACAGGACCCCACGTTGGCGCAAAACTGGCGACAAAAAGATAGGTACAGGCGATGACTGCCTTTGCAGCTCTGGGCGAGCTACTGAGATCCCATGACTGCTCTGCGACGTTGTGAAGGCCACCTGGCGGGGCCGGTTTACCATAAGACGCCATAATGCCAGCGTTGGCAAACATCCAGGTCATCATGAGGGTAGAGCCGACCAGGAGTGGGGTGCGGCGGCCCCAACGGTCGATAAAAACCAAGGCCAGAACGGTCATGACGACATTGATCACGTACTGGATCGAGGATGCGATGAGGTTGGAATTTCCGGTAAGACCAGCCATGCCGAATACATAAGTGATGTACAGCATCATCACGTTCATGCCCGTCAACTGCGACCAAATCTGTGTGAACATACCAAGGTGGGTCCGGTAGATCATGTTCCCCTTGAAAAGATCCAGGTAGGAGGCATCCTTGTTTTGACGCTCAAACTCAACCATATCACGAATCTCCTGTAGCTCGGTATGAACAAAGGGGGCATTGCGATCTCCTTTGGCGTGGACCGAGGCGAGAACCTCGTGGGCCTCCTCCCAACGATCCTTCTTGGCCAACCAACGGGGGCTTTCTGGCAAGAGAAAGACCATGAAAAAGAGAAGAACCGCGGGAATCATCTGCAGGCCCCATGGGGTTCGCCAAGCGGCGGGTCCCTTAATGAAGCTGCAGCCATAGGACACATAAAACATGATCAAGATACCCCAGGTGATCGCCCACTGCTGCGCGCCCACCACCTGGCCACGCTTGCTGGGCTGGGCCAATTCGGCGACGTATACCGGTACCTGAGCACTGAGAATGCCGACCGATAAACCGTTGATGAAACGACCAACGACGAGCTGACCGATGCTGAAGGAGGAACAGACGATGGCACTGCCAATGCACCAGATTACCGAGCCCGATTGAATTGCACCCCGACGGCCCAGCCAGTCGGTAATGAAGCCTGAAACGAGAGCTCCAACCCAGGATCCACCAGGCATTGCCGCTGAGATGCCACCCTGGTTGGCAGATGTCGGGCCACCGCAGTTACCATCTTTTATACCAGTCTGGTTGAAGAAACATTTGTATTGCTGGGTACCGAGACTGTCGGGTCTGTCAGCGATCATCCATTTACATGGGATTCAGGTGAGGATCCTTACATGGCAGACATGGAAGCAATATCAAAACCAAACAATGCACCGCCGATGACGGCCACCGTGGTGATAACATAAATGTTGGTAATCGTATAGCCCATGATGGACCAATATTAAATACAAGTAGATTGTGTTCACCAAGGGTCAAAAAGAACAGAAAAGCGAAGGGCAAGGGGTTAGATATAAAAGATCTACTTGCCCAAAGCAAACAAAGCAAACAAAGCCCGCAAAACTCAATAAAACGCGGGGGATGCGGGAGGATTTGCTGTTTCCCCGGACCCCAGATCCCCCTCTCCTACACTCATTGCGCAAAATCCTCGACTCTAAGCCAATTATTTGCTGTATCTCAAATCGGCGTTATGGTCAGATGCCGGTTAGGCCCTAGTGCATGCAACTTCAAGTGTCGTGTTGTCAGCCACATGGTTTCATCGCGTCGGTACTAGGCCGGACATTTGCCTAATTTGTTCAAGGGTCGTGGGGGAACACATGGATTCTTTTCCTTTAACCAGTTATCTTTCACTCCCCCTCCTTTCACATCCACAGGCAAAAGCAAGGGAAAATCTAAGTTTCCATTTTGGAGGACCAAGCATCATCCAGCAAGCCGACAACCGGCCAGTGGCGGTCACTGGTGTTAGGTGACCTTGGCAACCGGCACATGAGATTAAGATGCACTTTTTGGAGCAGAGATACCCTTGTCCTAGGCAAGCCACAACCAGTTCTGATTTGACACAGCACATTCACAACACGCCATCTTCTCCCGATACGAAGTCACTCCCTATGGTACCACAATATCTGGCTACGCTAGTGGCTTGTCGGTGGGCTGACGCCCAATGCGCCCCCCGTTTCCCTCCCCCACTTAGTGCATTGCCCATTTCTCATTGTTGGTATTGGAGGTTTGGGAGCCCAGCAGGTCTTCTGATGCCCCCAAGTATCCCAGATCCCACCAGTGCCCTTGCGAAGTGTCTTGGCACTGAAGAGCGCTGCATGGCATATTGAGACTATTGAATACACACGATCGCATTAGCATAAGCAAGGTGTTAGCCAATCTTCTCGCTTCTCGTGAGATGCTTTAGTACTTCGTCGCAAGGTATTCCTCTTTTAAGAAAAAGAAATACATTATGTGTCTCGATAAGCTTCCTAAGATGACAGTCACACTGAGGCATTAACAACACCTAATGTGGTCAACACATCACGTAGTCTCCCGACCGAGTTTAACACCCTTAACTCCGTTCCGTGGGGTGTATAGGCCTAGGCGTGTATTCTTTGTGCTTTTCTAGTTACTACCGGTTCCTAGAATACGTGAGTACAATGCTGCACTTAAAGATTTTCAGTAAACGGTTTGCAAGGCTTCTCATCATGAGCGCGCTTTTGATTACCGCACTCCTTTTCGATATCGTAGTGCCATACCCCAGCCCTTAATGTAAAGGAACCTAGGCAAATCTGGTCGACGTCCGCTTTGACCAACGGCATTTGCTAACGTACCATGCGCCCTACAATAATGTGTAACTAGGTTCACTTTTCCTCGGTAGATTCTCGTCCTAGAGTGCAAGTTTCTAGTTACTGATGGCCGTTCATCTTAGAGACCACTGCGTCTTCTTGCTTCTCTTTTAGGAAATTCAATTCCGTATCATTATTTCCCTTCGTTATCGTTGATATTTAAGCTCACTCCTTATCTATAACGTCAACTACACAGTTCGGTTGCTGTTGCTAGTGTAACTATACTATTTCTCTATGGTGCTGGTTACAATACACAGCAAGCAGCGCCACCAAAATTAGAAACAAGCAAGTGCCACCTGAACTGATTGACGTATGATTCGCTTCACTCGAGACGTGTGGTACCACGACGTTGGGCCGATTGCTCCCTTGGTATCCTGTCTATCACGCCAGCAACTTAAGAAATGCGGGCTTAGCATAGAAGGAGTTTATGTAACTTTGCTAGGTTAATCATATCTGTCCGTTTTGCTACTCTTCTATAATGTTATTGGTGTTCGAGTTTTTATTTTGTCGAAGTGCGATAGATTCCACCCAACATATCCCACGTAACATACTGCTGATTGACCAAACGTGGAGGCATAGTATGAATGTCTGTGCTAACACACATATAATAGAACTGATAAAACCCTTCATAGCAGTTTGTACTGCACCTAAATTTTCCGGTTGGCGCCGTGAACGTCATGCTTTAAAGTAGACTACATTCCAAGTATGCAGTTCAATTTTACTACGGGTACAAAGAGTATATGCGTAATCGGCCGTCATATAACATTTACCGCCAAGACCGGGTCTAGTAAGCTATCTTAACCAAGTGATACGCGTTATTTGGAGTCGCCACTCTAAAGGAATGTTCAATGAACCTAAACGGCCAAATCTGACGTTTTTTAAGAACCACGCGAACGATATAGGGGATAGTGACGCTGTGGCGTTTACGCTTTTTTTTCAAAAAGTGGGGGCCGCTTACCACACATTTCATATCCGTCCACGCTGCTGGTCTCCCTGACTTCATCCCTGTTGTCTACACACACATGGGCAAAATGACCGATCAATTCTGCACTCCTGCGCAAGCGATCCACTCAGAGATCCAGCACCACCACCATATACGGAACATGACCCGCAAAGTGCAGGGCAAGCTTCACAAAATGTCACACCATCTTATAATCAATCAACCAGTGAATCAACGTTCAACGCAACAACTAAGTTTCCGCCTGCTATGAACGGCTACTTCCAATGGAAACTGACCACAACATTCCACCTCGGGCCAACCGCAGATGAAAAGCTATATGCGGTCTCAACACACACAATCGTTCTCGGCAACAAGCCCTCGGTCGTTTTGCACGACGGTCTAACTGATAAGCACCCAGTACTAGCGACTGCCCATGGCGATAGGTGGGGTAGGAACAGGCCCACCATACTCACCCTCCCAACGCGTCCAGGATCCCCACACGACGATGCCCTTGTGGAAGAGACGGTTCCCGGGTCATCGAAGAAAATGTCGCACACCTTTACATTCAAGGCCTTCGTGGGCTCCAAGGGGACAGCGAGGGAGGCGCCTTTGAATGGCGCCAAAGCCACGGGAATGAAATCAAGGAACTTGCCGGTCATTCATTTGGCTGGAAATTGGTACGATTGACGGGGCCAATGGATACAGCAGGGAGAAGCAGAAAGGAGCGTGATCGGGGTTATACGAGTGACGGCCTAGAGTTTGTGGCCGTGATCGCACACAATGCTTCATGGAGCATGACCAAGGGGTTTCGTTTCGCATTCACGGGAAGTGGACTGACTGGTACCTTATGGGAGGTCTGGGAGATTCTGGTCGTCCTGTCAGTTCTTGAGATGTGGTATTTGGATGCCCAGAGGTCCGCAGCGGCGGCTAGTTCTGCCAGTGCTACTTCCGCTGCCGCTGCTAGTTGACCTGACATAGTGCTTCTGGCCATGTCCTCGAATTTCAACATATCCCAAGTAGCCGAGGGTATTTGAGCACAAGCCCTGCATTCAGCTTGCCGTAATCTGTCCCCAGAGAAAACGTCTTACTACTAGACTTACTCGCTTTAATTGAATTGATTGTAGGTATTTTCGCATCTATCGCCCAATATACCAAGGCCATGCTTTGATCAACCAGGCCAGAAGTCCCTAACTTGTGATTAGTATCAAATTACAAATTTCGAAAAGACTACTCGCTACTTTGGTATTTGCTCTGCCCATAGAACCTCCACCCTGCTGCCATGATGCGTGGCGTGGTAACGTGAATACACCGACCTCTCTGTGATCCGATGCCCTTAGGCCACAGATCATTATCGGTTGAAATTCACAACTCACTTACACCGGCAACAGTTATGATACCAGGGCAAGGCCGTGGTTGAAATAATTCCGGAGACTGAAGATTTTGATGCCGAAAGTGATCGCCCTGGGACTCAGCAAACAGGTCGTCGCAGCCAGCTTTGGCCCTCCCAGATCCTCTGGGCGTGATGGCCAATTCCAGTGAGCTGGAACTGGGAAGAACCGGGGCCGGCATAATCCCCATCCCAGAAGGCCTATTGGGTATTGAGTCAAATGCTGGGTTCAGCTGGTGATATGAAGTCGGATCTGTTAGGACCGCTGGTCAACCGGCGTGTCCCTCGGCCCTGGACCATCGATCCCCTGGCGTAGCTACCGGCGTATAAGCACCCGTCTAATCCCATCATAGTTGAAGTTTGGAGTAGCAGAAGCAGCAATCTTCATACAACAGTAGCCATCGACGAGGTGTTGGAGGCACTGGGTAAGTGGCTCGCTAACATTGCGAACACACGTGGGGGGGACCCTGTGAGCCAGGCTATCGCGGCAAGTTAACTATGCAAGACTTGAACTTGGCAACGTGTAATGAAGTCGATCACGGTGCCTTTTGAAATGTGTCCGGGCTCCGGTCGCATACAAGTGAACATCCGTCTACTCCGTCATGCCCCCCGCGCGTCCTCCCCGGTCGCCTCATCGGGGTCTCGCCACACATATCTACCTCTTCCTTTTTATCGGAAACTCTCTCCCTCTCTCTTGAATGAAAGCCTCCTGTTATACGGAGTACAAAATGGGCCATGTCGGAAGATCTCTCACTATGGATATTCACATGCCTGTTTTCTATCCCGCGATGGATCGTCGGAATCCATCTCCAGCGTCTTCGGGCTATTCATGCGCCCAGGTGGCACCGTGAGTGTCAATCTCTGCCTCTCGGACCCAACCTCTCCACACCTCCATGAGTTCGGCTATTACCGTAGTGAAGCCGACATTGCTCCAAGTTCAAAGGTTTGAATAGCGAAATGTCGAGACTGTCGGATATGCGAGGCCAAAATGGTACAGTCATTTATAAAAGGGGCAAACCCTAAAAAAATTAAGCTCAACCCCTTCGCCTCTTCATACAAAGGCAGGTATCAAAGTTTTTCGTGGAAACGGAAAACTATTCACGACCTCTTAGGGCGGGTCGTCGCAGCTCCACTGCAACAGCCAATGGATCGCGGATCAAATTTGATCTCCCAGAAACGCCACTCTCGATAAGAGACTTCATAGTTAGGTTCGGACTGATTTTGATTCCTTCATCTCCTCCAGGTCACTTTTGTGATTCTTATATTGGGGTCGACTCTCATTGGAGCATCGCCGAATGCCTCATCATGGAGCTGGCACTCCCCAATGACGTATTACTCCTGGTTGGCGAGCAGCTGGAACAGAAAGCAGACAGTTGGAATCTTGTCTTCGTCTCTCGTCACTTTCATGACTTGTTTCTGTCGTTTGTTTACCGCAGAGTTTCTCTGCGCAACTGGAACGATGCCAGCTCGTTTCTACACGCCATACTCAACCGACCAGTTCTCGCGCGCGCCGTCCGGGAGCTGGACTTGAAGGACTGGCATGCGAAGGGTCTCTCCGAGTATCAGCGTAAAAAAATTACAGAGTCAACACATTTGAAGGAATGGATACACGTCGTATCACACTCGGACACCGAGAGTCAGCAATGGACTGAGGATCTCGGACAAGGCCTGGGAGATGCATGGGCTGCGTTGATACTTCCGCTATTGAGTCAACTGAGAAAACTTCAGCTTGCCTACGCCAGCACGTCTCCTTGGTTAGATCGCATCATGCAGAGAGCCATCCAGTGCGAAAGGCCCTTTGTTATCCAGCCGCCGTTTAAGTGCCTGCAAGAGGTTTCCCTCCATCACCGGAATGATCTCGATCGTGATGACACCTGGGGTGCGAGAGAAGAACACCAATCAGCATCAGCTCTTCTCATGCCATTCTTCAGTTTGCCATCTGTCCGTGTCATAACCGCAAACGCGGTTGTGGATCCCAGCACCGCGATCACATCTCCCGAGCAAATGACGCAGAACCTAAGGGTCGGCTTCTCTTCAATCACTGAGATTGACCTGCGTTCAAGTAGTGGCAACCATGGCATGGAGGCCTTAGTTTCCTCGTGTGCAGCCCTCAAGTCTTTCAAGTATCAGCACTCGGATTCACACGTCCTTTCTCATGGATATCAGCCCTCGGCTTTCTATCGCTCGCTAGCCCATAGCAAGAAGAGTCTTCAGACACTGTGGCTGGATCACTATGGCAGTCATTTCCCATTCACCGCTGGTGGGCTTAATCAATCACACGATGAATGGTTTGGATCGCTGGCCGATTTCACTGCACTGCGGGAACTGCGCGTGCGATTGCCGAACCTACTGGATATTCGATACCAAAACGAACCATCCACGCCACTATTAGAATGTCTTCCCTCATCGCTAGCGACGCTGTACATTGAAGGCTGTGAGGAGCGAAATCTGGGGATGCTAGTCTCTCAATTGCAAATTGTGATCAAGAACCGACGAACGCGGTTCCCAGGGCTCAATCGCATCGATATTGAGGGTGCGTTCCAAAACGTCAGGTCTGACGACGATGGCACTACCACCAGTCCCGGGCCAGCAATCTCCGATGGTGTAATCAAGGATAAGATATTTCAGGCTGCCGAGCCGTTGCATATTGATTGTTCCAATGCTGGCATGGAATTGTATCTCCATGATCGCACCCTTTTCACCTTTTGAGCCTCGCATCATCTTTCGCCATCCACAGTCTAGAAGCTTGCATTTTCCATTTGTTTCAACGATACCACCGGCCTGTTTGGCACGATAGAGCTGCATTTGATTACTCGCTGTTGGATAAAAGACTCAATTCTATGTTTATACTTTGTGTGCCTTGTCAAAATGGCGAGATGGACAATATGAATCCCACGCAGTGGTGGGATCGCCGGAAAAGCATTTGCCGTCTTCTTTCACTTGGGGATTATTGTCAATACTGCCCGGAGCGTTTTTACTGTAAACAATAACTTAGGGGAAAGAAAGGCAAGCATGGGTGTAATTGAAAGTGTAGCGATAAATAACCCATTGCCTTCGTATCTACAGGGAGGCAAGAACCGCATCGGCGCCAGATTTCTGCAGACAGGGCTATTAGCCGGAAAGACTGGACCTGAAAGAAAGTTCCATACCTTGACAGCACCCCGTTCGGTCTCAATTTGGGCATAGCTGACCTTGCCGTGGTCAATAACGATCGCGTACCGGCCAGTACGGCCCGAAGCCTCATCAGCCCAACCAATGCTCTTCGAAAACTTCGCATCCGGGTCCGAGAGGAAAAGCTGTCACGGTCAATAATGTCCAAAGAGCGAAGTGGGGCGCTCACAATATCGTCCCCGCGAACACGGTTCGCCTTTCCCCAGGCGCTCATCACGAAGGGATCATTGAAGGCTACGACAGCGACAATGTCCACTCCCTTCTCACGGAGGTTTGGCAGGTTCTTAATATATCCGGGAACGTGGTTGACTGAACAAGTTGGGGTGAAGGCACCTATTCGACCACAGGTTAGGGACCTAGCTGGATCCAAAGGACTACTTGACTAATTTACCTACCGGGAACTGAGAACAAGACAACCTTCTTGTTGGCCCACTCTTTAGAGGCGTTGTAGTTGATGGGGATACCACAGGAAGTGATCTCGTCACTTTCCTCGGTCCAGGGAATGTACCTGTGCCAGGATTAGCGTCGTTCGTTCCAATTGGGGGGGGAATGACCGACTTAAAAACAACGTCGCTGGGGAACGTGTCGCCAGACTTGAGGGTAGCCATGTTCACAGAATAGAATAGAGAGAGAGAGAGAGAGATGGAAGGGAGAAGGAATTGGAATGGCGGGGGAGGGGGGAAGTTGTGCCTAAGCTGAATAATAATGATGTGATCGGAGCCTGCCGAAGCTCTCCAGAGCTCTCTCATTCCCCCATTTTCTACCCTAAGGGATACATCCAACCAGACCTTCTTTATTTTATCTTGTCTCTATCTGTTGAAGAGGAAAGGCAGGGTCGAACTGGATTGTGACCAGGGATGGGCCCGAGGGGATGTGGGGACCCCGCGAGACAACTCGGGAGCTCAGTATGATGTATATGTATGTTTAGGGAGTTTTGTCAATGATCCGAAATCCATAGGGATGGCAATATCGCCTCTTCGCTTTTGCGCCCGTGAATTCCAAGTCGAATATAGCTGCATAGCCGCCCTTGGTTGCCCTGCTGTCGCGAGGAAACATGAAAAGACCGAAGTCATTCCAATGATTGACTGCTACACATTGGCCGCTGCAATTAAATTGAACTTGTGCATTGCGGAATTACTTTCGGCGCGTCAGAATTGTATCATGTTCCAGGCACTTGGTGTGTTGGAGTAGTTGCAACTGTCTGCAAGGTACTAAGGGGTTTTAGTCAAAACCAGTTCGGGTGCTTTGATTGGAGAATATATACACTTGCTGTATGATATATTCATCTAGCTGCCCAGTCAGAGAGTGAGGCTGTAGCTGTCTTATATCCGCTCCCGCTAGACTTGATGAAATCAGAACTCAAAGTCCACTAGGATCTCACAGCCTGTGCATGACGGGTTGTAAACGTCGTATCACCTGCGTAATAGCTTGTTCCCTCTCCGTTTGACTGTTCCAAAATGGGCTCAATGCAGTCGCAGTTTCCAGTAGCTTCCGGAGGCCTTCTATTCCCCTGGTAGCATGTTCTGCTGGAACACTTTGCCCGGGTATGTTGAGGGAGGTATTGAATACTTCAAGAGAAATTGGGCCTCGATATCCTGTAGCAAGAATTGCAGCTGCGACAAGCTCCACTGGCATATAACCACCTCGAGACTCCTCAAGAGGGTAGAGGCGATGACTGCGTGACCACGGAAGTAGTGAGGGTGTTTCCGGGTCCGTCGGTGGGAGGAAGCTCGATGGATTCATCAACTCAGCATCGCCGCACTGGAAGAAGAAAATACGGTCGCCTGGTACTGTGGAGGCTAACGATGCAAGTGATCCAGTAAGAACGTCAAGAGATTCTTCTAAGGTTGGGTATATGCGCCCGTGTGCAGCAGGGTTGTAGGGATCTGCAAACTCGACGGCGAGAATATTGAACGCATCCACAATCAATCCCACATTTGGGCGATTCGCGAATCGTACCGCTTCCCATGAAGCAGACCATGTATTTCGCACAGCCCAAGATAGGCCCTCATAACCAACTCTCAACATGGGCCCGCCATCAGCTTGTGCGTACGCGGCTGCCATGTCGCCCAGCTCTGCAAGGTCTCTCGCAACCGTCTTGAGATCGGATGTAACACCATTGTCCGTACGAATACTGGCGCACATAAACACAAGGTCGGTGTCAAAGGCTCGCATAAATGGAAATCGCTTCGCGACCTGGTTGAGCGTGGTCCGGCGTTCAGCGAGATCCTTAATTCCCTCGATGTTCCGAAGAGGCTGGGTGCATGCAATGTGCATTCCCAGAGACTTGACTAAATCGCCTAATTTGCGAGCGATTTGAAGGATTTCCGGTGTAGCTTCCCATAGCTGGTCACCAGGCAAGTCATGTTCCTCTAGGTACGCAGCCCAGCACTCGTCGAACAAGTCGATCCATTGATATCCCGCTTCTGCTGCAGCCTTGAGGCGTGGTTCAAGCCTGTGTTCTCGGCAATTACCAAGAGACAAACTAGCGGTGCCAAACGCATTATCTGCAAATGGGGGCCAGGAAATATGCATGGTTGAGATATTACAACGAATTGTTGCGTCTTTGTCCCGCATTAAAGCATCGAAGGATGATTGAATACCCGCTCCATGGCCCACCTGAACGCCACCTCCACAAACTGGCAACCTTTTTAATGCGCCGACATTTGATACCCAGAACAAGGACTGGTTGAACCACAGCTTCTTGCAAGAAATAGATAAACGATTGCAATGTCATCGACTCGTGGGTATTCTTCGGGTGTGTCCCGAAGTCTAGCTTAACTCTTAACGGAAATGACCGTATATCTATGTTTATAACCGGTTCCTTATTGCCGATTTCGGGGTTCGACTCGTTTTGTCTAATGTGTTCAATTTTTTGCTAGCAGGGCAACCTGTTCACACCACTTGAGATGGTATCAAATCTGTACTCTGTGAATTTAACTTGAGCAGTTTGAGATTTAAGATTTCCCAAAATTTCTATATAATATAACAGAAGTATCAGGAGGATAAGTCCTTTCATACCCCCCACCTTTATATGATCTAGATGATCACCCCGAGGCACTCGAAAATAAAATTTGCTCGTTCCCACAAGAGAATTTTTAGCCATGTTTTTTTCCCTCTATTTCGTGCTATTCGCTGAAGATAGACGGAATCTTCTGCTGGATACTCAGGTAAACGCGATGAGGTCCCTCGTAAATGATGTTTTGCAGCGGACATGCTCTGTGTTCCAATACATGGGGCATTGAACAGGTTCTGAGATTTCGCATGTTTGGCGCAGGGCTTGATCCAAGCCCAATTCGGCGGCTAAACTGAAAGCATACATTGTGTAGAGCCAGGATCGTTCCTGGGCCAATGTTTCTGCCGGAGTGGCCGAGGGCAGAAACATATAATATCCTTGAACAATCTCCACGGGTTTTGTAACCACAGGTATGAACATGCTTGGACAGTTTCTCCCTGCGAAGCCGCAGTCGCTTGGCGATTGAGCTGTCGCATGATCGAATTGGGCCACTAGAGCAAGAATCCATGTGAATAACAATGCTGATTGAGAGCGCACAAAAACTCCGGGGTGTGAAGCACAGCATCAAGTATCCCATTGACTGGATGCAGCGAGAAAAATTAACTTGCGTATAGTAGCGATACGAAACTGAGCATCATACGGAATATTACGCCATACATTGGGAACAAGTGACAAGCCCTCTCCATTGTAACTAATCCTAGGTTGACTGGGCCAATATCGGGGCCAAAATCGCAGAGAGGTGCCCGGGGAGCAGAGTTGAAATAGTTTTAGTACCGGGATTCGGCGGGAATAACATCCAGTCCTTGCTCCAGGGTCTCTTCTTTCTGTCCAATTGTAGTCCAAGTGACACATAGACTGGCTGATGAAGCAATTGACGGCCCAGACTTGTGGCGTTGACTTGCCATATCTGAGGCTTCGTCGCAGAGGATCCACCATTCAATCCCGGCAAGTGATTATGAGACATGGTATACAGTTCCAACGTTTGTGTAGCATCCGATGCATTAGCTAGCTAGGCCAGGAGATTACTAATTGGTTCCTGCTTGGTCTGATGGGTATTTCCACTGCGGAACGCATGAGGACCAACGTCTATTCGGGGCTTTCTCATCCTGTACGGTTGGGTAACCTGGACTAAGACAGGGGGTATATAAGGTCCCATTATCCATTACCGGAGATGACTGTCTAGTGTCGGCTGTCTCGGATGGGTGGCTGGGGAAGAAAAGCTCCGAGATGAGCGCCTCCCAAGGAATGAAATGAGCAGTCTCGTCGACATTCTCTGTTGCATAAGAGACTTTGGTTTTCTTTAGCTCAGACTGCATTCTTCGGTACACCTTTTCGAACCCCTTGTAACGACCAAGTGCCCCGCGCTTTCTTCCAAGAGGTCGTGGCTTTGGAATCTTGCAGGCTCGGTGGGTGCGTCTGCACCGTTCGCAGGGTTCTGTCGAACCATTCTCCTGCTGTTTCTGCTGATATCTTGGTCGGATACAACTCATCTACAATTGTTTTATCAGCGGGGAACATCAGACATGATTCGAGCAGCTTACCTTTAATTTCCGGCATGTCTCGCATGCCGTTGGGAGACGAGTTCCACCAGAGTTCTCATCTACTGGCTGTGAAGACATATGGCGGGATTCCGGTATTCAAGGCTTAACCGGGTAGACCACCAAGACAGAGTATCTAATTGCCCAGGAGTGTGGAGGATGTAACCAACTGCCCCGGAGTTTCGAATGGCCGGGTAAGGTCTCGGCTATGAAGGGAGTGCAATACCATTATCCGCCATCTCTATTCTCACAAACCTGTATCTCTGACACTCTCCTCGGATTCCAAATATATGTACAGTGCTACAATGACTACTTCGTATGACATTTATTACCTCTATGGTGTAAATGTCCAACTGAGCAGTCACGGCCGGGTTTCTTTGCCGATTTTCAATGCTAGATTGAAGCCGACCTTCGAGTTTGATTTGACTACCTCCTGGTGAGGCATCGTTGAAAGGAGCTTATATGGCAGTGCTCCCTCCGGTGAGGAGAATGCAGTTGAACGAAGCCTCAACCACATATCTTGGGTGGGTGCCACCTATAGCTCACTTGGGTGTGTCAATATTCTTCCACCACTTTCGTCATGGTAAGCAATGACACCGACTTGCGTGGACTTATATATACACGGATCTTCAATGGAACTAAGGCTTTAGAGTCATAGAATTCCCCATTTAGGACATTGAACGACTACTACTACATTACATGTAAAGCATTTATTTCCATTAATCTTGATATTGTGGTTTCAATTTGGATTGTAACCCTCGTTATCTCGTTCAAGATTTATCACTATGAACATTATGAACGACTCGGCGTCCATGGCCTTTTTAAGAGTGTTGGTGGAAAAATTCAAGAACAGTCTTGTATCCACGCTCATACTCCTTGCGCACCTCAGGGTTCTCCAGGTCCGACCGAGCAGCCATCCAGCCGTGGATCTGAGTCGAGAAAGTCTCCACGTGCTTTGGCACCTTCAAGTTCGCTTCGAAATCCTTGACGTCCTTCGCAGGTTCATCGCCCGAAGCGAGCATCGCCATTGGAATGTTCACCACCTTGGCATCGTTGGCATCTACCATAGCCGGGTGGCATTGCACGGCGGCCTTGAAGAGCTTGTTGTCCGCGCCTGAGGCAAGGGCGGCAATCTTGCCGCCCCAGCAGAAGCCGAGGATTGACCAGGACTGGAAGTTGCCGCCCGGTGCGAGCTTGTTGCCTTCGGCGACGACGTCGGGGATCTTGGAGAGGGTCTTGGGTGGCGCGGCTTTGGTTGAGAAGAAGTTTCCTAGCTTCTCCTTGTGCTCGTCAGTGGTGGGCGGGTACCACGAGATGTCAGCGGGACTGCCCTCGAAAAAGTCGGGCATAAACACGCGATACTTCTGGTCGGTCGAAGTAGCTAGGATGTCGGCACCTTGGATAGTCTGATCAAAGAAGCCAAAGATGTCTGTACAATCTTGTTAGTCGATTGTTGGTATCGCTATGGCCAGATAAAACTAACCGTACACGACCAAGATAGCCTTCGAGGCCGACTCAGGACCAGTAACATCTGGGATCTGTCAGACTTGTAGCATGTATCATAGGTTTGATATGGTGAAAGCCTACAGGTCTTCAGGCCATTGATTGTCTTGTACGCTCCCTTGGCCTGGTAGCCCTTGGAAATAACAGGGGGGATACTATACACATAGTCAGTAGAGCTCGATAGATTGAAATGAATTTGAGACGGGCCCCCGGGTTTCACGCACGAGCAACAGGCTTTGCTGATTCCAGACATGGTGAGCAATGAAGAGGGCAGGTAAGCGGTACGGTTTTCAAAGACCTTCAAAAAGGAAAGGTGGGAGATGTTCGATGCACAAAACGTACAACAATTGAAGTGAGTGAAAGAGTCGAAGTGAAGTGAGTGCGAGGGGAAGAGGCACCCCGCCGGTCGACGTCATCGAAGCAGCATTCGGCAATTCGGGACATGCAACCTGGCATTGTTATATTCATACGCACTTGTGGCTGACGTTGAATTATTTGGTTATCTCTGCCATCATTCTCTGTGGCTGAGGTGGTGATGTTTGACGGTCGGCATTTCGATCTATAGGAAATATATATCTAGGCTTCATCTCCCACTGGTGACCGGAGTTCCATTGGAGAATAGCTGGGCGATCTGCAAAAGAATAACGAGAGTGCTCGATTCACCTAAATAACATCCGTGTTACATACTCTATTTGGGTTATCTCGTTTACAGTGCCGGTACGAGTCTGTCTAGGAAACGACTCGTAGGTGGTGGGAAAGGAAAGAGAAGTATCACAAGGATCATTAGGTCTCGGTGTCATCTCATTTATGCATACGAGGGTTCCACGACAGAAGTTGTCACATCAGACAACTGGAGTGAAATTTACGACAGCACTCAGACACTCAAAGATAGCAAGTCCCACTGATATAGTGTGTTGTGTTCTCAACGAAGACCACAGAGAGGAAACAGATATTCCTACACCCTTAGAAAAGCGATGTACTGTATCCTGTAAATTAATTCAATAAGGCACATAAGTGGATAAACCATTTCGGTGTCCTGCCGCAAGGGAGAATGCTCTAACGATCGAGAGAGGCTCGTGGGTCTGCCAACTGGACATGTTCTCGAAAAGTGCTGAGACAGAGATTGTGGCCCCTGGAGAGGGAAGCTGAGACACCGATCTCGCGTGAATCAAACAGAGAAAAAATCTGTGCTCCATTGCTTTCGCCCAAAGTCAGACCCATAGACTAATGGAAAATAGTCAACAAAAGCTCTGATGTTCGCACAGGGAGGCTAATGTGGGCTTTTGAAATCCACCGAGGCTGAGCATACCCATCAGCCCTGCAGGACGCTCATGGTCGCAGATCTCCCGTGTGCGACAGTTCAAATCCCCAAACAACCTTTGAAGCGCCATTCCCGAGGACGATCGTGAACGCCAACCGTGAGCCTTTCCGAAGCCACACCGGCAGGAACCGACGCAGGAGACCTGGCCTTGATCAGCCTGGTGGATCCTTGCGCGCTTGTCACATCTGGGCTGGTAAATGCCGCCTTGCATGAGAATGGGAGCTCTGAGCAAATCGGCTGCGTACCACGGCAGAGTTGGTTCAAGGGCTTTCCGATGGAAGATGGCCTGTACGATGTCGATCAGGGAATCAGCGTTGGGGCATGGGCATCCATGATTGACTGATCGTCGGAACAAGTCCGTTTCGGGGCGGCGTGCGGCTACAGACGCGTCGAGTGGAGGATATGGACTTTATTTTCGCAGATCCTCGAATCTAGAGGGATGTCAGTATCACAGAATGTACAAATAATGGAGTCAGGTGTTCAATAGACCCAAAGAGCCGAGGTATGCAGTTTCCAAGAATGCGACACTGCTGCTCGCATGTCTGAGACCCCCTTTTTTTAAATTATTATTAACATCTTTTTCCCCCTTCCTCTCTCTCAAAACCACTGATTTAAAGCCGGACTGCGACCAAATACGGGGGCGTAATGCGGACCGGATCGTAATATTAAATTCCAAGCACGGGCGCGTGGACATATCCTAAGCTTCCGAGAATCATCTACATGTATACGGAGTACATGTATGCATAGATCCCCTCTCGGGACATATCTAGAAACTATGTTACTGTACTATATTCTTAGACGAGATCAGCTCTGTCAGTTTTGAGTACAAGGCTCTAGACGATCGACAGGGCACATTTTGCCCCCTATTCTAAGAATCTGTCACGACCGTGCAGCATACAGAAACAGTTCCACAACGTGATTGGTGGATAAGGCCCAACGAGGAGGCAAGGACGGAGAAGTTAGCTGGATCTGTCTCGCGTGGGTGGAGTGCTCCAGACCCACGAACATTCCGAGATCGCGTAGACTGAGGAAGACCCGAGAGAATGGGAGTTGGGGAGGCGATTGGCTTTGAGGTGGCGATATCTCTTTGTTCTAATTTCCCTAAGATATGGGATTTATAGTATGGTACGGAGTACACGGAGGGGGTGTCCAAGCCAGAGTTAAAATGAGGAACCATGACCGAGGAAACCAATGACAGGTCTCGGCTACTGGGGGCCAAAATGGCCAAAGAGGAAAAAGGGAAAAAATAAGGGAAATAAGGGAAAGGAAAAAGTAAAAGTGCAGATGACCGGCGAGACGAGTATAGCGAATGACCGACGAGACAGCTCGCTTGCCTCTGCCTGCTCCATGGCTCTCGTATTCTGGCCATTCCGGTCTTGTCCGTGCGTCGAGGCCTGTTGGCCCCCTTATTGGGTAGGAATCTCACCGCGATAGTTAGTATTTTTGCTTCTGTTTTTTTCTGTTTTTTTTTTCTGGTTTTTTCTACTTTTCCCCTCAATAATAGCCGGGGTACTAGCTACAGTGTGTTTCTTGACCCGACAGTAGCGCCTTTACGCAAGGAGAAAGAGTCGAATAGAATAGGTAGACTTTTACTGTAATATACTAATCTACTACTCGAAATAAATAGAAGCGAAGAGAGGCCCTGTCAACCACGTTGCTGACAAGTTAATCTATATTTCGCATTTCCCTTACTTTCTTTCCCCATAGTGGCCAGACTCCCGTCGACTTTCCCAGAGATTTCACACTTCTTTTGACTATAATAACTGTCTTTCCCCCGCGCTTGTTATCTCACGCCTCTTCCAACGCCACGGCTTATTTTTGCCCCCCCCACATCTTCTATTATCATGTACTACTCGCGCCATCGACCGTGACAACCTCACCAAGGACTTTTTTCTCTTCTTTTCGCTCTCCGAGTCTCTAGACTCTACCCCCCGATCGCGGATTTCCGGCGATCGATCGCCCCTCCTGGATTCTACCAGCCCTTCTGGGGCCTTAGATCGAGATTGGGCCTTGAACGGAACCTCCTTTAACGGACATCCCAATCTGCAGCTCAACGAGACTCCGGAGTTCTACGGAGTTCGTGATTCATCCAACCTGGCGACCCTCGCGGTTCCAGCTATGGGGACGGCGCTCGATGCGCTATCGGCCCCGCCCTTGAATGTTCGTCGTCCAGCGGCTCCGACACTACCCAGCTTCGAGCTGCCACCGCCGCCGTTCACCTTGGCCGCCGCGCCTAAGTACGCGCAACCTAGTCACCCACCAGTCTCCCATCCACCAGCAAACGTGAGTGTGGGAAACCTCTTAACGCCACCCGCCACGAATCAACCAGATCACGCCACGCCCCAGCCCTTGGCGCCTTCAACGGGCGCCTCTTCTGACCTGCCACCGGCATATTGGTCAGGGGCCAACCCTTATGGGCAAACCTGGGGATCTGGGGTGAATACAGTCTATCCAGCACGAAGCTCCTTTTCGCCTTCATCCGGCATGCAGATTCGCCCATCAATAACATCACCACCGACAACAGATGGGTTATCACATGCATATGAGGCTCCTTCAGTATCCTATCAAGCTCTACCTGCACCTTCGACTCTGGCTCCCTCCGGTCAACAACCTATGGCCATGTACCCGGGGGGTCCCGCGACCTCTCCTGCTCCGCTCTCCTCCAACGATCCCTATGCCTCGAAACACCAGCACATGTATGCCGCTTCTCCGTCCATGGCGAGTCCGCACCAAACGGGATTTTCCCCCATGTATGGCCCTGCGGGACTCGGCATTCATCCCCCAGGACGCATTTCCGCCCACAGCCCCACGGGAGGACAGCCGTCTCTGTCATATCCCCGCCAGCCGTGGCCATCCTATTCGCTTCCTGCTATGAACGGACCTGTCATGACAAATGTGCACAGCCCTGGTGGTCCCATGTCGATGATGGGCATGCAGCCCGGTCTTTTGCCCGGATTTAACAGTGGACATGTCGCAAGCTCCCAGCATTTGTACGGGGCCCACCCACCTCCCCATGGCATGTCCGCCCCGGCAGCCGACCGACCATTTAAGTGCGATCAGTGTCCCCAAAGCTTCAATCGGAACCATGATTTGAAGCGCCACAAGCGCATCCATCTTGCCGTGAAGCCTTTCCCTTGCTCTCACTGCGACAAGAGCTTTTCGCGGAAAGACGCCCTCAAGGTATGTTCTTCCATGTGTCTGTGATACCTTGATACTAATATAGCCCTATAGCGACATATTCTGGTCAAAGGCTGTGGAAAAGATGGCGATTCAGATGCGAATAGCACTCAAGCCGGAGGCGACATCAAGAGTGAGGGACGGAGCGAGGACGGTAGTCCCATTCTTAATGGACGGATCTAGCTGAGTTCTGATACTTCTGCTATGGAACCCTGGTCTCATTACTTTCCCCGATCTACATCCATGTATGCTCTTTTCGAAGCAACGAATACTTGTATCTATCGAGGCTTTGGCAGTTGGTGTTCCTGCCAAACCTTCTTTTTGTTATGTCTTTATCTGCGTCGGCGAAGGGTGTGTGACTGGGCATCTTGGGACGGTCTGATTTCTGCTTTTTATCAATATCCGGTTTTCTGTTTGTTTACTATGTGTGCTTTCAGATTTATGTGTGACGTGTGCATCTACCCTACTTCTTTGTTATTTAAAGCGATTCAGCGATTGGTCTGTTAATGGGTTGGGCAACGTCGGTATATAACAACCTGCATCAATGATGACATGGAAGAAATCCCAAAAAAATAACAAAAACCACTTCCCCAAACAAGTATTAACAAACAATTTCCTATGTCTGATTTAAATCAATGGTTGAAACCGTGACTTTAGTGATAGGAATGCTCATCTGTCTTACTGGCCTAAGAGCTCTTTAGATCTTGGGGACTTCTATGAATCGCAATCGGTCAGCCACCCAGCCACGTGGTGGTCTTGTCTTCATTTACCAACAGGCGTCAGTGGGTTTTTCAGATCTCCCTTAGTATGTTCAGTTAGACCGGTGTGTAATTTCACCAGTCTGAATTTTGAAAAGGGGAGCCTTGTCTCAATCTATTGTGACCCATTGTCTTTGCCAGTCTGGAGCCAAGATCCCGAGCTTTCCATATAAGTATATGATCGACCTTGAACCGAGCTTGAACCGAGCTTGAACCATTATCATACTTTCATTGAGATTCCCACGACCTCGTCGACTTTCGCTTCTTTCTTATATTTTGCTCTTTGCCATCTAACAACTATAGGAAAATACAGGAGACAATGTATATCCATACTTTTTCCTCACTTTTGATTTGTGTCCTGCTAACACTACATACATCGGCATTTCCGGGTCAACCAAGGCTTTATGGGAGGAACATTGCATCTTTTCGTACCAGAAGGGATGCCCATAGTGGGACTTACCAAATCCCCAGCGTGGTCCAGGATGGAGACAGCAAAGCGAACTTTGACATTCGAACCCCCACATCGCTCCTCGATATTGAGACCTTGTTCAGCCTGGATGCACCCCAGATTGATTCGATAAACGGCTCTGTATTCGACTGGTGGTACTTTGATGCCGTGTCAGAGACCAACTCAGGCGACTCGCTCGTCATCACTTTCTTCGCCTCGTCTGTTGTTGCATTCCCATTTTTGGATGCGAACGAGACTTCAGTGACCACTGCATATGTATGGGCTTCTTTTGCCAACGGCACTGTATTTGCTGGCTCCGTCCCGGCGACCTTCGCGACTGTTGCTGGGGTAGACGGTTCTGGTACTAATAGCTCCGGGGAATGGCACTCAGCCGGGTTCAGCTGGGCGGCTCTCACGGATAACCTATCCAAATATGAGGTGGTAATCGTCTCGGAAAGTTTGCAGGTCAAGGGGCGATTGACTCTGACTTCGGCAAGTATCAAATATAACACCTGAGAAAAGCAAGAGTGGCTAATGTGTCCAATGACAGCGGGCACCGCCTCACCTACCCTGTGGCATCCACGCAGAAGAGACAACCCTCAAAATCGCACCTCACATAGGATGGGTCAGTCTTATACCAGATGCCATGGCTGAGGCGGATATTGAGATACAAGGATCGATGTTGAAATTCCAGGGTTCCGGATATCATGATAAAGTGAGTGATCCCACTCGGCCTCAGAACAAATTCTGACGGGGTCATAGAACTGGTCTGATCGACCCTTCCTGGAATCTGTCCAGAGGTGGTACTGGGGCCACGGTCACATCGGGCCATATTCAATCGCATGGTTCAGTTATCTCGCGTTTGACGACCCAACCAACACCATCTACGTAAGCAGTTACATTGCCAGGGATGGAGAGTTGTTGGTATCGACTTGTGACCCCAATCTTTTAACTGTGCACCCGACCGGTAATCCTGGAACTACCGGCGCACGATACCCGCCACGGGTGGGCGATATTCCAGAAGGGTTTCGACTGGAATATGATCTAGGGACAGAGGGCCAGTTGAATGCTAATGTTTCAATAAGAGCAATAGTAGCGGGAGATGGTGAAAATTATATGCGATGGACAGGAGACCTGGTAGGAGAGGTGATACCCTCGGTGGGTGGACCACAAGAGGGTCGCTGTGACCCTGACCACAAAAGAGATGCAAACAAACCGATAGAAACGCAGAGCCCTTCCTCGCTTACCGGTGTGGCCGTTTTGGAGCAGTTTATATTAATAAAATAGGTTGATCCTGGTGGGGGACAAGACAAAGATCTTAGGAAGGTTATAGTTTCTTAACTGTAAGACACTGGACTCACAGAGTGGTTGCAACTTGAGGAACGTTAGAGCAAGCCCACGAATTGAACATCTTAGAGTGAAGCATTTGATTTAAAGGACGGCCGAGTGCGATAAAAAGGACAATCGGGGTATCTCGCCTGGCACAGAAGGCAATGGAAAGATCCGTGATATAGAACAGAGTGGAATCTAGAATGGCGCTTACGACCCTTCACTGGGTAGAGCGCTTCGCTTTCCATTCATTGACCAAGCCTCGGTAATCTTCCGTGCCATATGGCTGGAAACACCTTTCTAAGAAGCCCTGCTTGCGCTCTGGAGATAGACCCAAGTCGCGCAGCATCAAATCAATATACGGGATCGCGTCGAACACGAAGTCGGGATTGCGTCGCCCGAACCCTGCCGGATAGCGGTACTTTCCAAATTCGGAGTGCAAGGCTGTCTCCCAGACAAGATCGAGTTCTGCAGTGTCTTCCGTTTTGATATCAGACGAAGCAACCACGGCGGATGGGCAGTGTTCGGTTGCGGTCGGAGTCAAATCACCGCGGAAGTATGCTGAAATCCACAATGCTTGCGTCTGGGCTATCAACGTTGTATTAATGGTCATGGTGATACCCATGAATGCCAAGGATCGCTCCTTCGCCAGTGACAGTGGCACCATGAACTTTGCCAGTCGGAAGGGATGCGGTACAGCCGCCTCAGACTGGTCGTCTAAGGGGCGGTAGTGAGGGTTTGGGAGTGGTTGATCGCGGAGGCGGGGGAATCGACGTAGGATTTCTTCATCGGCTGCTTTTACCATCTTTTCATCCAGCGGATCTGCACTCCAGGGAAACCCTAATTCCCGCTCGATGCCCTCCGGTAAGAACTTGAGGTTGGGAGTAGCGCGCCACCCTGTCGAGCAGATCAGTACCGAGGTTGGTAGTGCTTCACCCGATGAAAGATGGACAGTGCGGTCTGAGAGACGTTCCAGATTGGCAACATGCACCTTGATAGTGCCATTTTTGACCAGCTCAAAGAAGTCGGTGGGATAGTTGAGAATACTGAGCGACGATGCAATCCAAAACGGACTCACCCACGGCTTCAGTTTCTTCGTTTCGGGATGCTTGTCATATCCATTAAGCTGTACGACATCATCCGCTAAGATAGACCAGAAAGCGTCCACGATCTTACGACCGAGCCAGGTTCCATGCAAAAAGCTGCGGATACCTGTGTACCCATCTGCTTCTCCCCAGATACACGGGCTGAACCAGGTCAAGAGCCGGGTAGTGACCAGCTTCTCCAACCATTTCTTTAATGGAGTAACGTAGGGTGGTGCCATCCAGACAGGACCATGGCCAGACTCTCGAATGACCCAGTCTACTTTCATGCCTGTGGTGGCGCAGGCATATGCTGCATCCCAAGCTGATTTGGTCCCGCCAAAGATAGTTGCGCGCTTTCCACTTTGTAAGACTGCGTCTTGATGCTGCAGGAGATCGCGACAATGGAAGAGAGGTGCATCGAAGGTGTCTTGGCCATCAAAAGTCGGCAGGTATGCCTGAGAGGTGATACCCGTGGCAATGATTATCTTCTTGGTGTCGACTGTTGTTGTATCATTCCCATGGGACACCTTTAACTGCCATGTTCCATCCAAATTGTGTCGTGCGCTCTCAACGCGGTGGTCCAGTCGAATACAGTCGGCGAAGCCGAAGTGCTGTGCGTATGCCTCCAAGTACTGTTGAATGACATCACCTGGAATATGCTGTCCAGATGTGATGCCAAAAGTCGGACCGTCCATAGGAAAGTCACTAAACTCATATGTGCCCAACATGTTGTTCGATTTCAGACCCTTATAGAGACGATGCTTGGCCCACACCCCACCTACTGAGCTAGCGGCCTCCAACAAAACCACATTATGATCAGGGTTGACTTCACGATAGGTCTTGACAGCAGATAGTCCGCTCCAACCTGAGAGTGACTATGTCAGACTTCGAAAATGATTACGCTATAAGAGCCAAAAGCCGACTTACCTGCGCCGACGACCACAAGGTCCACATTATGAATTCTGGACATTTTTGCTCAGTCGCAGGGTGTGAGAATTGACTGGTTGCAAACTAGGATTGATGCAGAAAGCTATGTACCAAGTGGACAAACGCAGGCGGACAGAACTCCAGGGTCTAAGGTTTGGGCGTAAACGAGCAAGACTTAGCGTGGAACTTTAGTTTTTGTCCTTTTTTTTTCTGTTTTTCTTGGTCTTTTCTCTTTAGCACAGGAATGGGGAATGGTGGGACTGCAATTAAATTAATCGGGGCACTAACGGTATACATGTACATGCACAGAACTGCAAATGCCAGGGGCCCTTGCCTCTACTAGGTTCTTGGCATGCAGCTAGTCCGGACAAGCCAGTGTCACTCTTAAGGGAATTCGGATCATCACAAACACTAGTTTAGCTTTGCTCCGTCGTTTGACACATTAGGCCGTGTTGTCAAAGCGCAGTAAGGGATTGGCCACTTTTCTCATCTTTCTCGGAACGTTCCTAGGCGAGCTGGGAGGCGCAAGCTAGTGTGTTAGTACTTCCCCCACTTTTATTAGTAGCTTTGGAAGCCAACAGCGCTTGGAGTTACACCAATTGTTTTTCCCCCTCCAAAAAAAAAAAAACAAAATTTACGTCGGGACAAGCAAAAATACGCAGCTTTCCGTCTCCAGCTAGCATCTCAATTCCACTATCGATTCCCCCTATATCTAACCTATCTAGTCGATCACAATGTAAATCAGTTGACAAGATCCACAGTCCAGATGAACTAATGGCGCGGGTGAAGCAGGGCGGGATGTCATCCCCGTTGACTCCATATTGACCCGCGTTGGGTCCACTAGGTCGACAACCGGCATTTACCGCTGTCACGAACAGACTTTTACCTATTGTTGGACATGAAACATGCCATGTTCTTTGGCCAAAAGTCAGACACCCGGTGATTAATTAATCTATGCAAAATAGGGTTGTTTCCAACCTCATATCCGAACAAACCAGAACCGCTTAGCTTATCCGGTGCTCTGATGATTTTCCCCCTGAACACATGTCGCGACGAAATCACGACGACCATTACAGGAATGAGAGCCGCCACGACCGTTTATCTATAGAGTAGTCGGAGCAAAATCTCTGGGACTGATCAACATCCAAACTAGGTGAAACGTGAGGCCGGTGGAGAAGGTGATTGTGCCTTGACATAGCTGTTCGCCTCTTAGGTTGTTGACATGATGCTTGGTGCGACTGTGCTACCGTGCATTTTCTCTAGGCTGGTCCGTTCGTACGTCACGCCGTAGATCGCGACCAGCCGGGACACAAAGAGACAACCATCATCGCTGTTCACTGCATAGCTGGAAATTAGCCCAATGAATTCGGTGTTTATCTCTTCTATCTAATAGTGCGTACCTCGCGTAGGACAATTATGTGTCTACCGGGGCTTATGCAAGCTGTTTTCACTCGTCCAGTGTCTATCGTTTATCCAATGGGGAAATTTGAATCGAAACAGGGAGGTGTGGACACCTGTAATGCCGATCATTCTTAGCAACCTGTCAATTAGGAGGCGCACAAGAGTGGTCTCGACCTCAAACTTCTCCCCAGAACGTTGATGGATACATAGCCAGCCCACCTCTAAAGATAGGCGGCAGCCACCCGGTCAGACATGGTGGGTGCCGCTGTCGGAGCCGTCACCCTCGCATGAGGAGTCCGGACCTGTCATGGATCTTCTTCAGTGACTCCATACTCGATGGGTCTTGCTGTTTATTTTAACAAAAGCCACCATGGACCCGCCAACGCGGAATTGGGATTTCTAAATTTTCAGTTTTTCCCGTCTATCTTTTCGTTCGTTACCGTTTATAAGTTGACCAGGACGTGCTTGCTTCTTTGTCCGGTCTGGTTTCAATGTCAACGAATAAGATCAAAGGAGAACATTTACATACTGCCTTCTGCCGCTGTCTTTCTTCCTAGGTACTGTTGACTTTCCCCTTCATTTATCTCAATGTACACCCCAGAGCTGTGATACCCTTTCTTCTTCCTCAATGGTATAGAAGACCTCAATGGTATAGAAGAGAAGAAACCAGTCAGATTCAGAAATATGGGCGACTTCAACACTGAAGCGTTTACCTTACTGGCGGTGGCTATTTTCATCATCGGCCTGCGAACCACCGCAAGATGGATTATGGTTGGCCCCAAAAGCTTCCAGGCAGATGACTATCTGATGTTAGTTGCATGTGTGAGTTCGATTCTAATACTGCAATATAACTCAATCCCTTGCTAATCAGGATATGTGTATAGGTGGTGTACGGGCTTGAAACCGGTGCCGCATACATGGTGGGTGCGTGGTTTATGGGCCTCGCCAACAACTCAATGACCGATGAACAGCGAGCAACTTTATCAGCAAACTCTGAAGAGTATCGTCTGCGTGTGGGTGGCTCAAAAATTCAGGTCGCTGGCTGGTCGTTGTACACTCTTTTGCTTTGGCTGCTCAAGACATGCATGGCTATTTTCTATTCTCGGTTGACGTGAGCCTTTTTTCAACCCCATCTCCTTGTTCTGTGTTGACTCTGAGTTTGCCATCTAGCGCAGGTTTGATAAATATGCGAGTCCGAATTCATATCGCATATGGTTTGATCGCTGGGACTTATATTGCTACAATTTGTTCGATCCTCTTCGGATGTCATCCGTTGGAAAAGAATTGGCAAATCAACCCTAACCCCGGGAGTATGTTGCCAAAGACTGATAATCTTTTGTTCACGTGGGGAAAACAGCCTCTAATAACCTAGTAGATTACTGTCAGCCGGCCGTGTCCAAGATTGACATCTATGTGACTGTGGTACTTAATGTCCTGACCGACCTCTATCTAATCAGTATACCTGCTCCAGTAAGTCTGTCTACAAGTATGCCTAGATTGTCACTAACCAGTGTAATTGAAGATGCTTTTCAAAGCTAGATTGAGATGGCGGGAGAAGCTGGAACTTCTGATTCTTTTCAGTGGTGGACTGTTTGTCATGATGGCAGGTATTCTTCGCTGTGTTCTGATCTTGACAGTAAGTTGACTCTCCATGACGCAAGGTGCAAGGCCTATTGACTATTTAGGCTGGTGCCAACGGTGCCCAACAAGCTGGCAGCTGGGCCTGTCGTGAGACCTTTGTCGCTGTCGTCATTGGCAACGTCCCCATGATCTACCCTCTGTTCCGGCGAGCTGCCCGACGTGCTGGTTTATACATCACCTCAAGGAATGGATCACAAAGTTATCCTGCCTATCCTCTCTCAGACGGTGACACTGGTGGCGGCGCTTATGCTAAGCGCAAGAAGTTCCGTCATCCGCTATCTATTCCGGGAGACACCCAATGGAACACAATAAGTGACGAGCAAATGATTTTGCCTACCTCTCGGCAGCAACCGCCTACTTGCACTGCTGGTGAAGGTGACTGGGAGACCCACAGTCAGACCAGCCAAGGCGGAGGCATCAAAGTGGTCCATGAAACGATTGTTCATAGCAGAGAAAAGTCGCCTCGGTTATAATACAAGACGGCAGCAATCTCAATACGGAGACTGAGATCAAGGGAGGCCTTTTTTTTATGTCTTTTGACCCAGTGGACATTCAGTGGTTGACATATCTGTTATTTGGATGTACTATGTTTTGTATATTTTTATACCCTTTTCTGGCACGGTTCTTGTTTTTTTCTGCTCATCTTGTTCAGTTTCAAAATTCCCCCAGTCCCGCGCTGCGACTATACATGAAGCACATGTCAAATTCTAATTTAGAGACCTTAACCACTCTTTTCTTGTTTGGATGGAGCGGTGCGTAAACATGGTAGCGATCATTCGAGATATATCGAAATCGATCAACTGTAAGGTGAAATGAGCGACCTAAGCCAAGATTGAAGTTAAAGTATGATACGAAATGTTTATAGCCTTGGAACCAAGCGGATGCTGACTTTTAATTTACTCAAGGGAGTAGGAATTAATCCTTGCCAAGTCTTGCAGCAATAAGCGGCATCTTGAAACCCACCGGAGTAATCCTACAACGGGATTTTGCCCTTCTGCTACTTTTTTCGGCTCTCCACCGGAGAAAAAGCCACAGGATTCTCAGAAAATTTGATCTGGGGCAATGATCGACCGCTCCCGTAGAACGACTTTTAGGCAGACAATGCCCCTGTTGACGCGAAAGTTGCTCCCCCACGGGACTCCGCAGTCACCCCGCCAATTGAAGGGGTGGAAATACCATAGAATGATGAAGAACATACAGTTTACGGAGGATGGGAACTCCGGCAGATGCTGGACTTGAGATAAAAGGGTGTCTCATCTCGCAGTCTCGAGCTTATCCACGAGCTTACCTCTAGCGACCAGGACAATGTTTCTCAGCCTTTTGGCAATTCTTCTCGCAGCACAGCTGGTGTCTGCCGACAACATCACCGCTACAGTGAATCTGGGCGTTTACAAAGGCCAGTCTGTACATAGGGCGTCTGGGTTCATCTATGGAATTCCCGATACCCTCAACCAGATCCCCGACAATTGGTATACTGATATTGGATTCAACTACGGGCGCGCAGGAGGAGCGCAGCTTGATACACCGGCCCGAGGCTGGATCTGGGGTATTGATGAGTATCAGGGCCGGTTCGAGTCTACGTTGTCCAATTATCAGACCTGTCGCAAGTATGGCGCATCCTTTATTCTTCTCCCTCACGATGTCTGGGGAACAGACCATACAAACTCATCGACAGTTTGGCCTGGTGACAATGGAGATTGGTCGGACTGGGACAAGTTTGTAAAGACACTGATGAAGGATCTTGAAGCAAACAATGCTCTCGAAGGTCTTGTCTGGGACATCTGGAATGAGCCTGATATCAGTATTTTCTGGAGGCGCAGCCAGCAGCAGTGGATTGATCTCTATATCCGCACCCACAAGCTTCTCCGGTGAGCCTGTTTCCCTTCTCACGTCGACTTGGATTGCTAACTCAAGTGATACAAAGGAAGAATCCTAAGTATGATATCGTTGAGATTTCAGGTCCCTCTTTGGCATTACGGCCCGTGTCTGGCAACACTTGGTGGACCGACTGGCTTGGTCAAATCGCGGGCAATGACACTGTTCCAGAACAGTACTCTTATCATCTGGAAGGCAGCTCAGAGGAGTGGGACAACGATCTTCAAAACACCAATGCGACACTTGCGGCTCTTTTGAAAACATACAACCTGCCAGACCGCCAAATCAACATCAACGAATACGCGAATCACGGGGAGCAAGTCCCTGCCGGTGCAGCTTGGTGGATCTCACGATTGGAGCGCTACGATGCATTCGGGCTCCGTGGCAACTGGCTGAGCGGCTGGACGTTGCACGACCTCATGGCCAATCTTTTAACCAAGGTCTCTAACCCTTCGGATTACAACGCTACCGACTATGTCGCAGCCCCGGAGTTCCAAGTATACAAATACTATAATCTGAATATGACTGGGAGCCGAGTTGAGACTGTTGGTACCGGTGACCGTCTATTCGATGTGTATGCGACTGTTGACTCGGACAAAGTGCGCATTCTGTCGGGGACTCGTATCACATCCGGCAATTGGCAGATCACAGTGGACAAAATGAGCGCCGTAGGTCTTCCAACCGAGGGCTCGGTGGATATACAGACCTGGGGATTTGCAGGCATGTCTATCTACGAGGAGGTGGACGCACCTAGTGATCGAGGGGTGGTCACTCACACATACGCAGGCGATACTTTGACGTTCCCTATTTACCAGACCGATGCCAGCACTGCATGGGCATTTGAGTTCAGTCGCTAGTAGATCGGACAATTCAAATTTGTGTACAGTGGACAGTGATAATACCAAAGTGCATCTATATACTCCGTACATGCCCTAAGTGCATGCCAAGACCCAAAATTCCGAAGATTCCGACACCCCTTGTTTTCTCCACACAAATTCCGCCACCCTTCAACAACTATTTCCGCCATGAAGAATGTAAAAGCCAAGAGGAACTCTTCAGACTCAGGGGGGATGATAACAGTACAGGATTCCCCTCGCAAGACGCGAAGTGTGATCAAGATGGCCTATCAATCGAGCCCGAAACCAAGCGAACCAAACGAGGAAAATATGCCTCGAGAGCATGGTGCGCGTCTTATTTACCCTCTGTAGCACTCCATACTAATGCTATGTGTCCGGTTTAGTGGGCAGTGTAAGCGGCGGAAAATTAAGGTAGGACCTGCCTTGATAAATGTCCGATGGACTAGTCGGAGAGGGTCAAGCTGAACATAACGTGTGACAGTGTGATGGCAATGATCCGTGCAAATCATGCGTTGCAAAGCGATGTGAATGTCAGCGAGAGGGGGCTGATATGAGAGGGAGATGGCGGCAGCCTAATGAAACTTCTGCATACCTGAGGTTTGAGATGACCGATCCAGTCCTATCGGATTCAAGCGAACATCTGCTGAGTTTGACCTTAGAGTAAAGAACCTGAAGTATCGAAAGAATCAGTTTGATCGTCAGTTACACAACGTGGGGACACCTGTATTCCACACCGAGAGACATCAAGACCAGGGCCACAAGGATCAGTTCGTCGAGCCCCAGAGCCTCCCAGATGACATTGCAACGGGTAGCAAACGGCCTCTTCGGCATCACACTACCTCACCCACAGTGCCGACCTTTTCCGGAGAGACCTCTTTAACACATAATCTGACTGTCGTCGAAGGACGGCTAGAGCAGATGGGCGTTGGATATACAAGGCTACGGTCTACATCTCCCAATCAACCTTTCGCTTCTCGATTAACTCCATCCCCATGCGAGTCACCAAATACTAAACCACGACATCAGACCCAGGGCTATATATATCAGCTCCTTGATCCTCATGGTATAGTCCCGGATCGAAAGCAATGGGACCAGCTCATGCACATATTTTGCGACGAGGTGCACATTTTGGTTCCATTTCTGCATTTACCTTCCCTATGGGAAGCCTATTCGAAAATGTGGGAAAACTCCCGGGGGTCCGAATCGAGTCCCTACCATCGAAATGCTGAGTCGCGTTTCACCTTGGCACACGTTCTGCTATGCTTGGCGAATGGTAAATGCGTGATATCCTCACGTGCGAACGGTCCAGAGTGTCATTATTCCGCCGGTTGGAGCTTGTACAGAGCAGCCAGAGATATCTTCGGTGATCTCCTCGATGTCTTCAGCGAGTGTTCAAATCAGATACTCTTGCTCCAGACGATATTGTTGATGGTGAGGAGAACGGTCGTTTAACATCTCTATCTGGACTGACACCATTTTCTATTTTGTGCAGGTTGTCTACCTTTTCCGCATTGATGCACACGGTCCTGCCGAAAAGCTCTTGGCCCTTGCAATATCGCATTCACATCATATCGGACTCCAACGATACCAAGTGGTGGAGAAATTGGGCACTTTTGAAAGTGAAATGGCTCGGCGTTTTTGGTGGTGCATCTACCTCATGGATAGACGACTAGCTATTGAAACAGGTCGCCCATTCCTAATACAGGATGTGAATATTGACATTGGCCTTCCGCGGACTGTGAGTGATGAGTGGCTCAGCAGATATCGTGAAACTTCTCACCTGATACGTGCCGACGATACCGCCAGTGAAAGGTCACATACAACGATGCCATATTTGATTGCTATGGCCAGCTATTCGAGAGTAATTGGCAAAGTATGGGAAGCTTTGTATGGTGCCTCTACCGCCCACTCCTCGCCAAGTTCATTTCTCAATGAATACCTGGAGCTTCTGATCACGCAGTCTCAAAAAGACCTTCAACCGGAGTTTTCATATGACCCCCGTCGGCCAGGAAGCTACAGGGCAAGCGGATTGGCTTGGTGGCAAATCAAACAGCAACTGATCATGCGAATTGTAAGTTCTTTGGTTATGTTACTTTGCAAACGCCCCGTCACATTGGCGAATTCTAATCATATAATCATTGAGCAGCGATGGGCATCTCTTTACCTCCTAATTAGAAAGCCGATGCTACAGCGAGCCGGCTCTTTGCATTCACCAGAGGCCACGGAAAACGAAGTCATCTGCATGCGTCTGGTCCAGGGAATTAGTGATGATTTCAAAAATGTGCCTGAAGACCACCATCCAAAGTACACATTCCCATTTTTGCACTATCTCACTAGTGCAACTATAATCGCCCTTGGTCTCATAATGAAGCAGCATTCATTCAGACATACTTACGGGAAAATGACTTTGGAAACTGCACGGTCGCTGAAGAAACACTGTCATAGAACCTGGGTGTCAGGCAAAATGGCTCGAGCAGTCTGGAAGCTGAACCAAATGGCCGAGGCCACTCTGAGCCCAAAATTCTGCTCGCCTGAAGACCAAAATAGCAATCAGAAAACGTCCTCATTGCAAGCCTCTTCTCAATCTCATCGAAGTCTAGGCATGGATGAACATCTTCAGGATCACCCTATACCATCAGAACAGACGCTGTTGAAAACAGTACCGAGAGCAGATATGACAATATCTACTTCTCATCGGAGGAACTCTCGATTTGAAAGCGACTGCCAATTATTGCCTGGCCAACCACAATGTTCAAATCATGCTGATTGGCATTCTAAAATCACAAAATCGCCGGACCTGGAAAAAGATGAGATGATGACCAACGACTTTGATTTTGAACAAGGCCAAAAAGTTTTACATCTTTCCAGCGGTGGTCAGCGGAAAATATCTCTAAATGAGACCAATACACTACGTGGAACTCAAAAAGGCGAGATGAACCCAGTTCACTCGGAGAATCTTGACCTCAATTTTCAGGAGAAGGAACCAAACACAATGTCAGGATCATATGCGCAAGGACTCGGGCCCTTCGCACCGGATCCAAATGCCTGGCTACCTGGAGAAACAATAGATGGTGGAATGGAGTGGCTACAGACATTATTCGCAAATGATCTGGATACACACCTTCCGTTTGATTGGGCATAGCCTGCGTTATCATCAAAAAGGTCATTCACCTGTACTGTGATGGAGCCCTATTATTTTCCTAGGCCCTCGGGTTGCAGAATCCCACGGAAAGAAAGACAATGTAACTATTCCATCATCGGGCCATAAGTGTGAATACAGAGCCATTGATGAAGTATTAGACTGTCTCTCCACAAAAGCCTCGAAGCGAGTATACTAGTTCATGCATTGTTGTCGCCCTGCTTTGCCTCTCTTTTTTCACCTCTTTTTTGCTCATTTTCGAGTGCCTCGAATTGCAGTTGTTCATGTCCAAAGGACTTATAGCTTATGACGGTAGCTATATATCTTTCTTATTGCACTTTGATGGTCGAGTCTGGTTCTCTTGTCTACAATCCTGCTTGGGGACCAATGATACAAATTTGCAGTACCAACCTCTCATTCTGATCCACCAAACACGCATCTTCCTTCAGAACCAGAGTCTGTCGCGGCCGAATTTATAAAGCAAGGAAACTTCAACAACCATCCATATCTCTATTTGCAATCATCGGGCTCCGCAGTCTAATATTTTGGCCATATTTGTAAAAGATAAAGGGGATAGGGATGAGAACGACTTCTATCAGTGCCAGCATTGTACCCGCCCAATTTGGGCCGAGTACACTGTACATTTTGTCCCCAGCGAGAGGCAAAACTCCAGCAAGCCCATATCGCACAATGGAGTTTCCTGCTAGAGCCGAGGCTGCATAGACAGTATAACTCCCAGCCATGTAGCTGGTGGCATAGATGAAAACAAAGCCATTCCCCAAGCCAAAGGGCAGTCCGGCGAGAATGGGAAATATCCAATGTACTGAACGGCGTGCCGTCCAAGCAAACCAGATTTCTCCAACTGGTATTAGGATGCTGCCAATACAAATTGCAATCACTCCAGCCTCAGGGGCTGGTCGTCCCGTGTTTGGATCTCGAGGATGCAGATCGATGAGTCTTCTGATCAGGGGCTCTAGTAAAACGGCGATGGTCGTTCCTGTGCCAATACCACAGTATCCTAGGCCTGCGAGACCAGCAGTCCAGCCCCGGTTTTTTTCAAATACAATTGGATAGGCAACAAAACATAAAAACAGCACCGCATAGACGACCCCAACATACAAATTCCAAAATATACTTTTTACAGACCAGATTGATTAGTTTGAATATCAGCATGGAAAGTATTCACATTTGACTCACCAAATAGGCTCAGTTACAACCATTCGTAAAGGTCGTACCAAATTAGTCTTCAAAACTTGTAGGCCAGTCTCTCGGTGATCAAAGCGGCACCACCATCGGCGTTCCCCCGTTGCCCGTTGTTTTTCTCTTGTGCGTTCGCGAAGAAGAGCCGGAGCGTATGTTTCCTTGACTAAAATCATCAGGCTGAGGGAAAAACCACTGCAAATCAAGACTACCCAATCGACCCAACGCCAGCCAAGGTACTGATAAACGAAGCCACCAATAATGGGGCCTAATGAGTTGTAGCAAGAGGTCAGTGGTCGACATACGAGACAGATTCACCAGTGGGTGTGAACGTACCAAGAACAGGCCCATTCATGGTTCCGAGACTCCAAAAGCTCAGTGCCAATGCGCGATATTGGTCATTCGTCACATCGGTAACACTCCCTGGGGCACTGGCGATCATAGTTCCACCGAAGAAGCCTCCGAAGAATCGACTGATCAGAATGGCTTCGATATTCTCTGCCAAGACGACGGGCAATATGAAGAGGGCGAACAGAAGGACAGAAATGATGTATATGGGCCGGCGGCCATAGATCTCCGAGAGGGACGACAAAACAACCGATCCCAGCGCGAGACCAAAAAGATTTGTGGTCAGGCCAAGAAGAACTATTTGTGACGAAACATTGAACTCCCTTCTTATACCATCAACACCAGAAGTATACATGGTCGAATATATTACCCTGCGTTATGCCCGTTAATAGGGTCAGCTGGGCGCGAGAAGATGCGATGAGGCTTTCAATGGACACTAGACTCACACTATCGTGGTAGAAAATGACATAGATGCAACAATGAGCACTCTATACCACAGTGACCAATTCCGAGGGTTCTCCGCATCTAGAGGCTCCCACGTCACTTCGTATTGTGGATCCCTCGCCGCAGCGTAGTTACCACCAAGTGCGACAACAGTGGGTTCTTTGGGGTCCTCCATTTTGAACTGTGGGAATCTTGAAATGGAATCAATTTGCTGAATAGAAGCCGTTTTATATATCCCATAAGCGAACCGTTTGCGGGGCTGCAAGAGACGGAATCTTGAAGATTCCGTGTCGAGCGGAGTATAAACCTATCACGGCATTGCTCCATGTCGCAGGGGAGGGCCTAGCTTTTGCATTTTGCTGAATGGGTCATAGAAATGAAGCCAATTATATTTAACTATCTTGCTATGTTCGATACACAAATATTGGAGGTAGCACATTAGAAATTTATCCTCGATTGGAGCAGATAGTTTCCTTCTGGTTCTAGTAACTGTAGACTAGCTTCGGTAATTATATTATAATGCATACCGGAAAAAGGGGTTCTGCTTGTCGGTGAGATCGTCAAAGGCAATCTTGTCTCGTTGCACCTCATCGAGCTCCAATTTGTCCCGATTTCGATTCTCACGCCACAGCACCAGGTACAATGCAACAGCAGCAGCGATTGTGATACAATAACTAGATCCTGTTAGATAAGCCAATATAAATTGGAAAGAGGATAACTAACCAGATCACCATGCCGGTCCACAGCTCCGGGTAGTGCAGTGCTTTAGTATTCGTTTTCACTAGCTGGGGCCCAATGATGTTGCCCACGGTGTACGCGACAAAGACAGTTGCTGCCATGACAGTTTTCTTCGTGGCTCCAGCGACGTTACTAGCCCCAACTGTGATGATCAGACTGACCACTGGTCCAAAGAAACCAGTCAGCGCGTAGCCTACGACGGGGGTAGCCGGATGGTATCCCCATTGTGATTTCCAAATCATAACACAGCCGGCGATGACGGGAAGGCAACAGGTAATCAGCATAGGAATGCGCGCATTTGGAACAATGGTAGAAACATAACCACAGAGAGGAATAAAGATGACACAAACGCCACCGACGGGGAACTGGAATAGGATAGAATCCAAGGTATTATATCCAAATGTCGACACGATCAACGGCCCAAAGCCCGAAATGGCACCGTTTATAGTGTACCTAATCATGCTCATTAGTAAAGTGCATATGCGAGATGTAATGTGATGATCACTCCATTCTACGAGAACACTCACGCAGCTGCCATCATGATAGCCACCAGATAAATTTTGACGTCTGTCAAACACTCTCTGATCTGATCAAACTTAATCTTCTGACACCTCACACCAGTTTGACCCTTCCGGAGTCGCTCCACAGCGACCATCCGTTCTTCCGGGGTCAGGAACCAGGCAGAGACGGGCGAATTTGGCATTGTACAGCACCAGAGACCAAACAAAAAGGTCAGGGCGCCAGCCAGAATGTAAATATACTGCCATCTCTTCAAGGACCCAGACGTAATTTGGCCAAATCCGTAGTTAAGTGCGCTGCCGATAATAGTAAACCAGCCAGTGCCAGAGAACCACCACGCTTGCCGAAGAGCCTGTTCCTCTTGTGTATAGTAACCACTGACTATAGTCATGAAACCAGTCGGGATAACACTTTCAATGAATCCTGTACTGTGTTAAGGCAAGAAACTTTGCATTCAAAATGAACACGTACCAAGGAAGAATCGCTGTACGAAAAGTCCCTTCCAGGTTGTCACGCCGGCAGTCGCTGCACACACAACGGCCCAGAGAAGAACTACTGGACCCAGAACCGATCGAATGTTAAACCGCTGTAAAACAAAAGTCATTGGATAGAGACCAGCAAGCATTCCAAAGTAAAAGATCGACGTTGCCCAGCTGAGTCGGGAGGTATCGACGGATGGGGGAGATGTAGAATGGTCTGTCACTTTCAAGGCCAAATCGGTTGTCATGCCAAAGAGCGAGGCGCTGCCTAAAATAGCCTGGATACTGTATCAGAGCTGCGGTCTCCAGGTTTACATCAGATATCCAATCGTACCTTGTCATAGTACACCATGCCATAGCCTGTGTTCCAAGTTAGCCAAGCTGTCATACGCAGCGTCTTGGAGGTGATATCCGTTCCGCAACTGACCGATGAGCATAGCAGGCATTAAATACAAGTCAATCTTCCGAAGCACTCGCTTTTCCACGACGGGGTCAATTTCCTGGGCAACCTCGCTCACCACCATCAACGCGGCATCCTTTTCGGGTGTGACATGAGGGGAATCACCCGGGCTGGTGATGCCATGGATCTGGATCATAATTACAAACTGAATCTATGATCTCCGAGGCTTCAAATTCTGAAATCACAAGCACACTGGACAATAGCAAAAATTTGCGGAGATGCGACAATTTTGTTTAAACTTCGCATTTTCCCAATCGGGATGTCCGATATCGCTAGTTCCACCGCCTATGGCAGAATCACCGCAGGAACTTTCTGTACATGTACAAGTTATCGTAGCGATTTGCGAGACAAGCATAAGCATGGAGGTTAGCTCAATGGAATGTGACTACTGACATGGATTATGTTTTCAGGCCCCGGATTGACCGATGCTTCTTGCGGATGAAGGATTGCATGTGTTTGCAGACTAGTGAATGCCAGCTAGGAGGTAATTCAACTTGCCACACCTACATGCAAATAGAATGAATATAGGCAGTGGTTGAACAAATAGACACCTGACGTGTCTAGGTGCAGGTAGAGCATCCATGGATTCTCCTGCTGTCTACACGTTTTATATCTACTCCCCCGGCTGACCTTGGTCACTTTCACGCGTCTAACCTTTTGAGGTCATCACAATATCCAGCGTCTATTCTTCACTTCAGAACATCGGAATTGTTTCCGAAAGCTCCCAATTGGCTTCGCCACGGCCCACTTGAACGTGGGTATATGATGTCACCACCTCAGTCAAATCTTGATAACTTATCCTTTGTCCTCGATCTGAGCGCCGACTAATTTACTGATACGTTAGCAGAGTCCCAGAGTTAAGGTGTGCGAGAAAGTAACCAACTTCGAAGGATTCTGGTATGTGGTGATATCAGTGAAATTCATGTTATGAAGCTCAGGCTGTATCGCGAGTGGTTTTGTTTGCGAAACTTTCCAAGAGGTTCTGTCATGTCTGATCCGGCCTTGGGGGCCTCAGATGAGCTGGACGATACGGCCAATGACGTATCGGAGGGCTTTACTATAAAAAGGGCCTTTTCACAATTCGTCATGGGACACTCATTCACCAATTTCAAACTTCCCACACCAAACTTATTTTCTTGACGATTTCACATAATGCCTATTAAATTCACCGTGTATAAGGGTTCCAAGGAGGGAATCCAACAGGCGGAGACCGAGCGACAAGACCTTAAATCCGACGACGTACTCGTGCGCATTACCCACTCTGGTGTTTGTGGGACTGATGTTCATTACCAAGGCGCCGACATGGCACTCGGTCATGAAGGGACCGGTGTGGTAGAGGCGACCGGTCCTGACGCGCATCTCTTGAAGAAAGGCGACCGTGTGGGCTGGGGTTATGAACACGACTGTTGCGGCCACTGCAAGCAATGCCTCACCGGTTGGGAAACACTGTGTCGTGAGCGCAAGATGTACGGCGACGCCAACCTCGACCAGGGGTCTTTCGGCACACATGCCGTGTGGCGTGAGGCCTTTTTGTTCAAGGTTCCCGATAATATGAGCAACGAAGACGCCGCTCCTTTGATGTGTGGTGGATCGACTGTTTTCAACGCTCTTCACGTGGCACAAGTTCGTCCGACGGCTCGCGTCGGTATAGTTGGTGTTGGTGGTCTGGGACACCTGGCTATCCAGTTTGCTGCCAAGATGGGCTGTCAAGTCGTGGTGTTCTCGGGCACAGATAGTAAGAAGGAGGAAGCGATCAAGCTAGGAGCCGTCGAATTCTATGCAACCAAGGGTGTGAAAGACTTGAAGATCTCAGCCCCCATCGATAACCTCATTGTGACAACCAGCAGCCAGCCAGATTGGCAACTCTACCTGAACGTCATGGCACCCAATGGTATCATTTCGCCGCTCTCCGTAGATGCCAACGATCTCAAGATCCCGTACATGCCATTGCTTGCGAATGGTCTTCGGGTGCAAGGAGGCATCGTGTCCTCAAGACAAGTCCATCGAGATATGCTCGCATTTGCCGCATTCCATGGCATCAAACCCATCAAGATGACCTTCCCTCTGACACGGGATGGCGTGAAACAAAGTCTTCAAACCCTGGAAGAAGGCAAAATGCGTTACCGCGGAGTTCTGGTGGCTGAGACATAGAGTTTTGTCGTTTTGAGGTGTTGGGTTGTATGCTGTTGGAATATTGGGCGTCTGTATCCAACTCTGAAAATCAGTAAACATATTGCAGTGTTCAATCACCAAACGCCTCTTGTATTTGACATATACAGGCCGAGGAAAGGGGACAAGGAATGAACAGGGAGAAGAATAGAAAAGGAGGAGAAACCAACGTTGACATTCAACTGAGGACCTTGACAGATGAGTAGATTGAGATTTGTTGGACTACCAACGTCATAGATTTCTACGGGCTTTGATCACTGTACGCTACAACGTGGTCCTAGAGATGGCTTTGAACTGGTTTGTCTTTTCCATCACGAGAATCAGCAGGAGGAAGGCGAGGGACAGACAGCCCCAATTGTTTTGCAGCTTCCTGCACGGCCCAAATGCCAGTCACAAAGGAGCAAGGCCTCCAGCATAACCAAGGTTGCTGAAATCACCAGCATCCACGCCTACTGCTAGCAAGCCTGGAATGATGGAGTTATCGGAGGTTAGCGCGTGCCCTTGTGAGTCGATCGCATCCCACCGTAGGTGAAGGTGATACTGATAAATATTAGCAGAATGGCTGAGCTTGGGACATTAACATACGATGGCTGAACCTGTATGGCATAAGACGGACCTTTACCATCCTCCAAAGGTGCAGGACGCGGTCCACCATGGCCAACGGGGACGTCCAAGGAGATGCGCTTGTGCCTCAAACGCATCACTTGATCATACTGCTCGAGGGTTCATCTTGCCTGCACATCATCCAACCCCACTGATGAATAATCTTCACCAAGTCATTTAGCGTTGATGCCTTTCCCACGTTACAGACGTGGTTGCGCGCTTTTTGCAGTCGATCAACATCGCCAGCATTGGGGAACTACTCACCCACGCAGTGTCGGAGGCGGGTTTCCTCGCTAGATGAGAGAGCCAGGCCAGATGGTAATTTTGCTTTGGTGCATATTCACATACTTGAACAATATAAACCCACGACGCCTTTCCTGCTTGGCAAGATATTGGTTGATAATTTCATCTCCTGTTGTTTCATCTGCAGACCGTCGGCCAGCTTCGTTTATCAACAGGCGATGCTTGCTTTCTATGCAGTTGTCATGTATCTGGATGTGTTCACTCGGGATCTGGGCTTACGATATTGGGCAAGTGGAAGATAATCCTTCGGGTCCACGTCCTCAGCCCCGAGTGGAGCTGGCAGTAGATGGCCATAATAAGTATTCATACCTCTGCTAGTTCCGGCACCAGATTCAATGGCCATATTGAGCGCACGAAGATGTTATCTCCGCCTTGTCCTACATACCTTGTAATATCTGGAGAACCTTGGGAGTCCACCAGTGGCCAAGACGACCAATTCAGCTTGAACCTCATAGTATGTAGATGGTGAATTGGGTGTAACCTGACAAGTGATGGCACCTATCACAGTCGATCCAGGCACCCCAGGCCCTTTCTGGATTAACCTAAGCACCGAAGTGTTTGTGAAAAGCGCATTTGCGTGGCTCGACCTGATACGATTTTGATGGAGATCGTGAAGATGGGAATTTTGATTGGAAACCCGATACCTATACCCCTTTACCCACTGTGACTTTGGCAATTCAAATGATTGCCACGTTGTACCTATTGTCATGATGCCATCGAAGCGCTTTGCCGTAGGCACTCCGTTGTCACGCATCCACTGCACTGCCGACAGGTAATTTTTCATCCATGCTTTTTGTAGAATAACATCTCCTGGTAGGACCCAATATCTCAACTTATCATATGTTTGGGGTCCCCAGCTATCCGTCGGTATTGTCAAAAGGGATCCTTGTTCTCCAGACTAGTTCAATTACCTACAACATTCCCGCGGGATAATTCGATGGGCCACCAATCTCCGTTTGTTTCTCGGCAATCAATGTTTTAGCTCCTGCTTCTGTTGCGAAAGCAGCACATGCCATCCCAGACATTCCTCCCCCGTAGACCAGAACACCCACGTTGATAGTCTCCATTTTGAGCCTGATCGGATTCAGGACGCCTGGCAGCAGCAAGACCAAATTGTTTGGTCTTTCACATAAAGTGCAGGGCTCCGGCAATCATTCATTTCAATCTTCAAGTCTTATAGTGTTTTTCTAAGACTTTCCGGTCATTAGGTTTGCTCATACCTCGATCCGGTTCCAAGTCAAATGGTCGGTGGTCCACATAAGTGATTACGTCGTGGCGTATATATACACAGCAACACATAACCACTGTACGCGGGTATAGGTATACAGGGATAACGCGGCTAAACATATTACTATCTGTTCTGGACTAGCACTCCACTGCCTCTTTCACTTCTCCTTTCCCTGACTACTCGTACTATGTACATATCACGTGATCCATCTCCCGCCCCACCCGGCCATGCGTAGACTACTTCATCACTCTCGAGACTTCAACTCTCCTTCAAAGTGTCTGGATTTCTCCAGTTTGTCTCTCTGATTAATGGCGTCTCTATCTGTGTGAATTGCTACTATCGGCCAAAACTCGGCGCCACAGCTGTCCACTTGCCGTATTGCCGTTGACAGGGTGCCGTCACGAGCCGAAGAGCCGAGATCAGCGTCCCCAGATGCTTCTTGCTTATTACTTGAGTTCCGTCTTTAGAACTGGTAAATTTTTTGATTGCACTATATATTTAATGGTTACAATGCACTAGCTGCACCATATTGACGATGACTTTCTTGTTTGGCCGACACCGTTCACAATCAGATGCAGCATCTGCCCGCGAGGAGCCCGGGATGCTCAGACGCTCTCTCTCGCATCAAGACCCGTGCTCTGAAGGAAGATTCCGAAGTCTTTTCCGAAAGAGCAGCGATGGTCTGAGGCCGGAAGCTCATGTAAGACGGCGAACCTTTCCACCCGGGCATGTCACTGATGGTGAGCAAGGGGAATGAAAAGTCTACTTCAGCTGAGGCGCCTACGGTGCACAAACAACGACGTGACAGTGGCAAACATGGTAGCAATAAAGATCTTTCTCGCAACTCTCCTCGCGGCCAGTCACCCACAACACCGGACCACTCTGAGCCCAAGCAGCCAGGGAATATTCAAGATCTCCTCGAATATAGACTTGATAACTCGAGCAGAGAAAGAAAAAAGTCAAATACAACTAAATCTAGACTTCAGGACGAATCAGTATTCACGAAAGAAGATGTGAAGATAATCCTATCTGGGGCGCCTCACTTTCTTTTGGAGAAGGGCAAACACGGGCGATGGTATCCTCAGGTGATCTTCCCCTGGGACGAACAGAACCCAATAGTCCAACATCTCTGGGATCGCAAGCCATTACCGCATGCTTCCTTTACTCTGAGCACACTCCACGCTCATCTACCGGTTCCGGATGACTGGGCCGTGAAAGGTGGCGTGCCTATTCGGGGTTACGACTGGCGCCGAACAGGCGCTACCAACAGGGCTACCTTTGATGTTGGGATATTTGAAGTCCCGAACATGTTGTCTAACAACGGGAAGGAGCCCGGTACCGTTGGCTTTCGGCATTTTCTTGAACTGTCCGTCGCGGACGCCATTCGATATACGGGCCCCGAAGAGCCCAGACAATCACCATATTTGCGGCGAGTTTCAGCCTTGCCAGCAATGGAAGCATTCGATCTGATGGAGGGGTACAACAAACCCTATTCCCAATGTCAAAGCGGCGCCGTCTATGATCGTCACCAGCTCATCTGTGGCGGACCTCTGGCCTGGAAGCGCATTGGAGTGCGAGATATCAGTGTTAGGTCTCTCGTACAACGGCTGGATCATTTACGGCAGTTTCGACAAGACATGCTCCGAGAGGGATCGAGGAAGACAATTTTGGACATTGAGACACCGCATGAGTTACATGACTCTTTGCATACTCGCTTTCTTTACCCTCACCCGCCACCTGCCGACATCCTGGCTGGCCATCCTTATAGCATCAAATCTCAGATCAAGACATTGGTCATTGTGTTGAAGACCCCGGGTGCATGGATCGACTTCAGCATGCCTGAATGGCGTTTTCGGGCTGGGCAGGTTCTATGGGAAGCTTTACTACAAGGTGATAGCGATTGTCTAGAGCCTGGGTCAAGCGGTGACCGAGAGCCACGGGAGGATTTGATCAAGTCTGGAATGGAGCGAAAGTGGTTGATGATCCAAATGCTTCTCTCTGCAGAGTTACTTCTTCGATTGGATGCTTTTGTTCGTGTTGGCATGTTACATGATCCGCATGGGGGTCAAGTCACAATACACGAACTTGACCAATTCGACAAGCTGCGTGAAGGGAAGGTCAACTGGGATTTGATTGTTGTGCGTCGGTTCCTTGACAGTCTGGATATCACTTGCGCATCATCGGAATCACAGTCAGCTCCAGATGCTTCTTCGTCACCCTCTTCGGCCAGCAAATCACCTGAGAAAGGTCGTCACTTTTCCTTCATTGATGCTCTCACTCGACGCAGGTCGTCTCCGGTTGCGAGTCTGCAGTCTGCCTGGGACTGTCAACTAAGCTCATCGCACGTCCGACAACAGTTGGAGGGACTATATGTTTTCGCTGAAAATATTGGATGGCCAAACATCGATGCCTTGAAAGCTGCAATGAACTTTAAGCTAGGTGACGCAGAAAACCCGATCCTTCCAGCCTTGGTCGTTGATGATAGGGGGGCGAAACTTATATCCAGTGGGAGCTCACTGGCCAAGGGGGATATGTACCCCCGGAAACCCTGCCGCCGACGCGTGAAGCTCCATAGCTCTGGCGATTCACAATCTAAAGCCCTAGGCTGGGTTTCGCGCACTTGGCTATCTGGATTTGTGATCCCCGGTGAGGGGATCAGTCATCTTCTCATGGCTACACTGCTAGAGAATGATGCTGATGCGCTAGAGCAGCTGGGTCTCGTTGCTAATATCTACGGTGGGTTTGTTTATGGCGGACGCAGTTGGTGGAGCAAGGCATGTATCGTTGGGCGCGTTCTGTCTAGTTCAACAGGAGCCAAGACATGCATGGGGTGGATCAGCAGCGACATGCTTCCCCGCGATAAAACTACGCTGGAAATACTTGGGCGTGGTTGGTTTGAATTCCCTGTTAAGCAGGTACCGCAAATTTCGAGTAGGCCTCGAATCAAGCAGGGAGCTAAGCTTGCAATAGAATCCTCACCGTTGGGCGTGGGAGATATCACGGCAGAGGCCTTTACACTTCCAGTGGAAGAACCCGAGTCAAGCGCAACATCCAATGACCGAGTAAAGTTGTTGAGTCTATCGGTCAATGGTGTCGGGTCTCCATGCGACGACGGGAAGACCATTACGCCTGCGGACGAGGCAACTGTGTCATTCTCCATCGATGAAGCAGAAGGCGCAAGGAGCTCAACTACTATCTCTTTTGCCCTCAAGTACAATGTACGCTTCGTTTCCGCCCACGAGTGTCGTGTGCCATTGGGTGTCGCCGCCAGAAACTACCTCGACCGAGAGCACGTGGAAGGGCGAGAGCCTACAAAGCTGCACGAGTCGAAATGGACGCGCCTGCCAGGTCATCCACTGCACCGCTCCTATTCATACAAGTATATCCCGCTTGCTTGTCTCTCGAACACCTCGGCGCCGCAGCCGACGCGATCATCGCAAGATGCCGAGGCTCCTCCCACCCCAGAGATCATCATAATCGATGCGCGAGGCAGCCGAGACAAGGAAACGTTCGTTCGGGCATGGTGTGCTTCTGTCGGGTGTCATGCGATCATCAGTCGATCCGGACGGACATGCGTCGCGTGTTGTATCAGGCAAGCGAGGGCGGTAGATGTTCCGGTCGTGGTGCGCGTGAGCGTCTAGGGTGACATCGGCTATCTGATGGGCTGTAGATAGATTAAATCATGTCTCAGTAGTATGTAGTACATATTAGCCGGGTATTAATGTTATCGCGGTCGTCAAAATGAGCCCCTAGTGAAGAGGCAAGTAATTTTGCTCTCATGACAGGCACTTTAGGGCTCAGCCGGAGCTTTTGACAAGCTCAGGGCACACAGAGCGTATAATCGCGCATCCCAGGTCATTGGAGTTGAATGAGTCCGCGGTTGGAAACGCCACCTTTTTTGGGGCCGGAAAAGCGTTTGATAGTCTTCTCACCGGGAAAGCCGTGGGGGAAAGGGGATCCAAGCGGTTTTTTGGTCGGAAAAGCCAGTGGAATGCCTGCGCCAGAGAAAAAAAATAAAATAAACAAAAAATTACAACAAATACCACCTTCCTTTTCGCCTCTCAAACCAAAAAAGAAAATTACGCGAATCACGATAAGGGAGGACCCCAGAGAGATATTTTCTTGGGAGGACGCGTAAGGTAGGTTGCAAGTTAAAAAGGATTGACCCATGAGCAGCCGAGAGTGCCCCCAATGGAGTCAAGGGCCCGAAGATGGTGAAACAGCCGGACCAGACAGAGGAGGCCAGTGACGTCCCTGCATTGATACTCCATCAGATCTCTACAGTTTATTAGATTTAGGAAGTGTTCTCCGTTCAAACATGTCTCAGTCCGATGTCTTGTCACAGTATGTTAACATTAGTTCCAGTTTATACGGAGTATGCGGCATATATAAGTCCTTACAACTACAGTAATCCGGAACTAAGCCTTGCTCCTAACTGAACCCCTCCCCGGGATGCAGGATGCAGGATGCAGGGCCGGAGAAGACCGTCTAAAACAGCACTTAGCCCGGAATGCCACGCGACATACGGAGTATAGGGCAGAGTATCGGACAACTTCCTTCAGAAACCTCACTGCGAATGGCCTTTACAGGATACAAAGGCGCCACTGCGGAGCTCGGCACTTGAGAAATTTGGCAGGAGAGAACATGGCTGCCTGCTAATCCTAGATTGGCATAGTTGAGATCGATTGAAATACAAAATCATCATACAGTTGGAATATCTGCACAAGTCCAATAGCTCCAGCCGAGTAGTCTTCTAGAAGGCAATCAGAAATTCCATGTGAGGATGCCTCTATCCACCGATGGATTCTTGGCTCGCGAGATCAGAAACCGAGATCGTGCTCAGCCCTGGACCCTTGTTTCACTTTAAACAATTGGCTCGATCGACGACGACGCGACGCCGTTGAAGCGTTATCTAATCGCTCAACTAAAGCCGATTACAACGGACATGCATGCTATTCTCGTACATTGGTCTTATGAGTGCGGAGTCGCCTGCCTCGCGCTAGTGCGAGATCTATCGCAGTTGACATTCGCCGCGTCACGATACATGTGTACAGACGCACCCCAACCCCAAAGAGTCTCTGATCTAAGGCCCAATGGGATCGGCTCCTGACCATTGTACAAGACGTACAAGACCCGTGCTTCGTCGATCTTTGACCAGAGCGTGCTGTGCTGCGGGGCTGAAGCATATGTAGTTTCTTCGCAAAAAGGCGGTCGAGCCATTCCCTTGGGTACAGAAGGGCAGTGTATAGCATGGACATGCTCCAGTCTACATGGGCCTCCTGTACATGTACGGACATTGGTAGGAGAACCAGCGTCAGAGAGCCAGTACAAGTGATCGGTGGCGTCTATTGGCATTGAGGGGAATTTGTTGACGTGGTACACCCGTATAACCTGAAGATCGTAGTCCACTGTGTATTACATACTCCATACATCTGAACATTCCCCAAGCCACGCTGGTGACACGTTTTCTCTTGGGATCATCGCCACCCCTTTTTTTTTCTTTTTTTCTTTTTTTGCCTGGATACTGTAGAACGACCACATGGACCCCATCGCTGATCTCTTGACCCGTTTCCCCCTTTAGTGGGATCTCGTAGAACCATGCATATGAGGCTTTAGTAGACAAAACTCGATGAGCCTAAATGCCAAGACCCTATCTGTAACGCGCTACCACCGTCGAGACGATCCTTAATTAAACCTTGACCAGCCCCACATTTAGGATGAGATCGCTTCTGATTCTTACTGTGTAGGGCGTGTCTTGAGGCTTTCGGACTGATATCCTACTCGGGTGTAGTTCAGGGCTGTGTAGCTGCAGTTATGTCATCGGTTTTCTACCGACCTATACTCTGAACAGATTGGCTTTGAGGGCTTTCACAAGGACCACGTACTCCGTAGAAATTGAATACGGTAGTGAAACAGTAATTATAATATTAAGATTGACCTGATTGACTTACTAGAGGTTTTCCATCCAAGGGACGCCATGGGGGGATCCCTGACTAAGAATGTTCGCGGTCTCTCATTGGTGAGCCAACCGATTTCCATGGGATCTTCTGGGCAGTTTTCTGGGCAGTTTTCTGGGCAGTTTTCTTGTTTGCTGGAGAAATGTGGCGGAAGATGTCATTTTATTGAAGCCAAATTAGGATTAAGCTACCGGCTACGCAAAGAGGCAAATAAGGGGCAAAATTTTAAGGGAAAATCCACGAGAAACAACTGTCGAGAACACAATGAAAAAAGAAATGAAGGGAAAAGCCGAATACCTACGGTTTTCTCGGGTAAGACCTGATACACATCAGCCGTGGACCCTGAATCTGTTTTTAGAACCAATCAACCAGTGGTTCGTTTCAGTCTGGTTATGCGATTGCGAAATTTCTACTGTGGTCTTCCAGAAGGCCAGGGCATAATTCTCAAGTTACAGTACATTCGCCTTCCAGAAGCCCTCAAGGTTCTCGGGATCATCCTCTGAAATGACCACAGACAGAAGGTTTCTTTTGGGCCAATGGAGCCTCGGAATAAAGAGCTTATTGGTTGCAGGTGCCGACCTAAGCTCGCATCGCCAATCATTTGGCTGGAACTCGAAGGAAGTATTCCCCAGTTCATCAAGGATTGACAGGTATCTCTCCTGGGCCTAAGCCCAACTGGTACATTATGAGCGGCCACCATCCAATACCCACACTCCCCACTGTGTCAGGGTTCCCAGACCATGGTTCCTTGCCTCGACCTCATTTGATGAGTTGGGTCTGGTACGCAATCAGGGGCGTTGAACAGTTACCTAATCAAGATATGTTCCTAGGGAATCACTCTGACGATGACAGGATTTAAAAAGGAACATGGAAACATGGAAATAACGACATAAGGAACACAGAGAAATTTCCCCTCTTTCGTAAAGGACAGAACTACTTCAATAGGTTCAATCTAAGGTTGAAGGTTAAGGGAAAGTTGTCGGGGCCCCCTGAACTGATCATCGAATGTGGTCCATTGACAATGACCTGCAGTCGATTTGGGCTAAGTCGATACATCCGAGTTAGTCTTAGTATGCAGAGCCACCTTGTTCCACGTACGGTGGGATATACTGAAAATAAAATAAAATAAAATTCAATTACAGGTAAAATAAAAAGGAAAAATCCCGAAACCAGAGGCCTAGAGAGCGTTTCACCCCGCGATTAGCTTCTGTCTCTTCAGACTATGATACATTCTCGATCTGCTCTCTTTTTCCCTTCAAACCGTTCACTTCATTCACTCCTTTGAATTGCGTTATTTTTTCTTTTTCTTTTATTTTTTTCTTCCCTTTACTAATCTCTTTCTGGTTACTATCGTTTGACTGGTCTCCCCCTAGTCTGTTTCTTCCCCGATTTCAAACTGGACCACGATAACCTTCTAGACCCTAACCCAGTCTAAAGGCCTGTCTTCCATGAACACTCTAATTATAATTATCGATTAATCGCAATAACTGGATATTTTGAGGACCTGGAAACCAATTTATCCTCGACCCGATTCTGTTGCAACACTACCACTTTACGGGCATACGACTCAGCGGGCCCTAACATACCCCCGGCTACCCTTTTCTGAAACGCGCAATATCAGCGCATGCGGATCTAGGCGTGAGGATTGGAGTATCATCCTCCGATACTACACCCCTCGGCTATCTGCTTTCTGGTGGTGTTTGCATGGCCTCGTGGGGATTGTCGCATTCGCATTCGATCACCCCTCTAGACACTTTCAGCGTGATTTCTCGCAACGCGCCCCTTTCGTTGCGCAGGGGCTATTGATGCTATTTCAACCGATATAACGACGGAACCTTGCTTGTGGGAGCTATGCCCGCAGCTGTCGACGAAATGGCATCAACACCGACATCACAAAGCGCCGCCCAGGACGCAAACGACAAAAAGCGTAATAAATTGGGGTATCACCGGACATCTGTCGCATGTGGTCAGTACCAAATTACACCCTCCTCTCTCTCTGTCGTGCGCAGATATATCGATCAAGAACGAGAAACCCTTTTCAAAGTGGCATAGCGGGCATGCAAATCGACAATTTAACTCATACATCTACAGTACATTGCCGACGACGAAAGATCCGATGCCTGGTTGCGCCAGATGACGCCGAAGGGCGCTGTGAGAACTGTATTCGGCTACGAAAGGACTGTCAATTCTTCCCCGTGGACCAGCAACCACCAATCGAAAAGAAATCACGCCCAAACTCAAGACTGGAGACCCCATCAACCGAGCGTTCGAACACTACACCAATTGCATCTTCTCCGACCAACTTGGTCCCCGATCCCGCCGAGGGCTACTATCCATATCAAACCATGCCAATGAACACTTCATCCGCGCAGGAACTTTCGCCCTACAATGTGAACATGGTTCCAACTAACCCAATGGGTCTAACACCAGGTAGGTTTGCGTCATACGCGGCATTTGTCGCATTCCACGTTATTACCAGACCAAGTTGTTAACTGACCGTTTCGAATCAGATCGGCCTTTGGGACCGGGAGACTTTGCCGGACACCAGACTATGGACGCAGGGGTCGCGTGGGACGAATTTACGACAATATCAGACCCGCACATGTTGAATACAATGGCAGCAAAGGGTCAAATGATGAACATGGCACCCAATGTGTGGAATCCTGGGAACATGTCCTCAGGGCTACCACCACCTTCGCCGATATCTGCCGCATCTCCAATGGGAAACCAAACGCCTATGAACTCAACTCCGGCCTTTGCCATGCAGCCAGATGGAACAGTCTGGCAGGTACCACCGCCACCGCCGAGAACGATGAGCTACCCCGGACAGGAAATTGGGTCAGCCTATCCCAATCAATATCATCCTCAGATGCCTCCAGAGCTGAAACGGAGGATGACAACACCCGCTCAACCTCTTTCTGCCCCGAATGCACTGGGTTCACAAGGATCTCCCGGTTCTGACATGCACACGCCCGGTTCAGTCTCCTACCCACCAGGCATGAACTACACCCAGTGGCAGGATATGAGTGCCATGCCTCCGATGGGCGTGGTGCCGTATCCCATGTACACTGGTGAGGCACAACAGCCTTACAACCCTCCAATGGGACATCCCGGGCCTCCAGGACGTTCCCCAAATTCATGAACCTCTCTTTTCTCTTCGTTTCGCTCCACTTTTACATCTCTTCTGGTTCGGATTTTGTTGCGCACATCACCTAGACGGCTTGTTTCACTTCTAAATACCCCGTGGGACATACACTCTCCCATTTCCATTTCCATTTCCATTTCCATTGGCATTCCAACTTTACTTTTTCGCCTCATACACCGTGGCGCGTCTGCTTTGCAGCTAGTCATTAGCGGGCGCAAGGGCTTTCGGATGGCATTCCCCGTGATTTCTTGTCTTTTTTCTATCATGGCATGGTTCCATCTCTTTATTTTTCCCCTGACCTTTTCAGTATCTTCCAGTGTGTTGAAGGCTCGGGTTTGTCATGCTTGCTTTTTCGTGTTTATGGCATTTTCCACCTGGTTTTATGGGGGTCCTCTTTTTCTAGCCGGTGGTATTCGGGGGAGTGAATTGTCTCATACATGTTTGAAAGGTTTTGTTTTGGATTCTCCGATAGACTTTGTTTTCTTTTCTATTCCCCCTTTTGCTACACGATTGATATATATATATATACATTCCGTGACTCCATGGCCCTTCCACTTTATCCTTTGCGGTTGCAACGGCACAGAACTGGTCGAGCGAATGGAAATTCAGTTGCAGGATTGTCCATTCTATGGCCGCGATGGACCTACAGACTATCTAGTTTGAGGCTCCAGATGCTTCCCGGGGCACGTGCCTGCCATCCTCAATTGCAGTATAGATCTTGTACATATTCCACAACAACTTGCATATTTTCATATGATTCTTGTAATTCTAGTACTGTATTCTATTCATGACTTCGGGTTCAGCTGGTCTGTATGTGTAATGCATGAAGATTCCACTTGCGGTGATGCTGTGTATATGCGAGATGCGCCCTTGCTTGGTTACCAATGATAGATCGCAGAACACTAATCCGAATAAGCACATGATGCAAATGCAAAGTGCGATTTGGTCAAATCAAGCCAACGCAAGTCAACACAAGGAGAGATGATCGTCCCTATGATCTTTTGGACTTTCCATATCTCACATGCAAGAAGGGATTGGCAAAGACAGTGGCTGCCTGAAAGTCCTAAAGGCATACAGAGGTCTGCAATGTCACGAGGCAGGAAGTGCATAAGAGTAGAGAACAAGGGGAACTGGGCCAAGGCCATTTGCAAGGAAGATATGAGATAACAATAGATCTGTAGATATAAGTTCAATGACAGCTCTAGTTGATAGGGGATAGATAAAGCAGATTCGAATATCTCCGAGGAGATCGACCGTGTACCTGTGATAACTGAGATTGAACCAATCTAAGGATCAGCATGCCAGGGACTCTCTCGAAAGGATCAGTCATAACCCCCATTTATCTCTTCAAGAGCCAAAAAGATAAGCTCATTGTCCACTGATCTGACATGTTGACGCCACTGGATCCGCATATGGGGCGGATCACCCGGAGAGCCGATGGAAGCACAAACTCTGGGGTTGAAATCTGGAGATAGCAGAGTCGCAATGGCGGTGTGGACTGCGACAGATCCAATGAGGTCTCCAGGGGTCTTATCTCAGTGAGATATGCTAGCTGGTCCCTGTTGGTTGTCTCTGGAGAGCTTCTTATCAAGATTGAGACCGTAGGTGTATATATAGCGGTGCATCCTCTTAAGGACTTGAGAAGTAAATCAAAAAGTTGTTCAGTGTCAGTTTCTTCCACTTTACCCCTTGTCTCTCGGGCAATCATCCTCCATATGGGACCGATCAACACCTTAATTCACCTTATGATTTCTGAATTTCCACATAACCGCAGGAACCGCACAGAAAAGAGGGAAATAAAAAGAGTACCTCCCCTGAAGTGGGAGGTCAAAAGGCAAAGGCACAAAAGTACCAGTCATAAGCAGTGACGCCACAGGCGGAATGATCCGGGTGAGATCTAATCCCTTAGGAGAAGACATTTCATAAGATTTGAAGACGAGAGAGTTTGGGGACGAGATAAGGTGGCAGTTCCACCGATCTACGTTGGCTATCATGACTACGGTGCATTACGCCAATGACCGTTGCCGGCTTATCTTCGGATTCCCCGGTTTAGCGTACAGAAGTGCGAAGGCCTATACTACTGCGCGAGATTGATTCGCTCTCTCCACACGGGACTACATAGCCGGACGTGGGTGGCGAGAAGGATATTAAACCCCGCGATGGGATATTGGTTCAAGTTGCCTGAGAGGAGAGGAAAAGCCGTGACGAAGAGCGGCGTATTTTTGCCTCGTACCCCGGCGATACCGATATCGGGTAATATAGGGATCTTCTCAGCCTCTCGGTGAGTCTTCACTCCGACAATACACTCTTACTTTTCATACTCTTGACCCCAGAGAGAGAGAGTGTGTGTGAGAAGTGCCTACAAAGGAGCCTAGCAGAGAGCTCAAAAAAAAAAAAAGAAAAGAAAAGAAAAGAAAAAAAGAAAAAAGAAACACAGAAGAAACACAGAAAGAAAAGAAAGATAACGAGAACAGACCAAAACACGAGAGTAGAACGGTGCTTATCTCTCGGGCTCCATCCGTGGCTCTCCGCCCCGCCCCAGTGCATGGACTGATATACTTCATATCAAATCTGATTGTACTTTCATTGCCCTTTGTTGCGCCTGATTGTGCCGTCGATCAGAGCATCTGCCTCAGTTTGAAACATTCGAGCATATGGCATGTTATTCTATAGACGCCAAGACACCAAGTCAGGGCCTCAGGACTGCAAAGTCTTCTATACTACAGACTCCACCAGCAACGAACAGTACCCACTTGGCCTTCATCTGGACACTTCCGGGGACGCTAAAGAACATGATATCTCAGCCAGTTTCAATCCCGAGCTTATGTCCGAGTCTCCAACAATGGACGATATTAGTGTACCTGCGTTTCGACGAGTCCCGACTCTCAGGAATGGGTCGGGCAAGTACATTAGTTTTGGAGTCTAGCATATGAGAGACTCGGGCCGATGATTAACTTAGATATGCCACTGAACATCTACTCCGTACTCCGTAATGCGGATACTTAGGGCCGTGCGAGGTATAGAGAAGGGCCTTCTAGACCCGAGAAAACACGGAAACCATGGCTGATTTGTGGATGAATCCCCAGACGCACGACAGAGAGGGCAAAAGTAATCAGCTATTAAACAGACGGGAGTGGCGCATGAATCATGTCCGTAAATCGGTCATTAGCCGTACGGAGGTAATACTAGGTTAGGTATTTACGAGTTTAGACATTTAGACAACATATTCCTATTCGTATTCCTATTCCTAATCCTATTCCCACTTCTACTTATATTCTATTTCTATTTCTATCTCTATTTCCTTATACTCTGGAGACTTGAAGTAGTTTATATCCGTGGACGTCCCGAGGCCCGTGTGTAGTCATCCGTTTCCGTCTCTCCCACACACTCGAACCTTGATCAATTCCTTTTCCTTCATCATCTCTCGCCTCATTCACGAGGCCCCTTCTATTCACTATTTATCCTCTGGGCATGAGCGTCTGGAGGGTCTAGCCCCCCTCCACGACTCCTGTCTTTTCATGCTAAATCTGATATTTATCCTAACCCCGGTCGTTGGCTGACGCCAATCGTCTCGCTTGGCTGCATCCGATCAACTTCCGGCAAGGGTCTCGTTTACGGCGGGTACGGGGGAATTTCAATTCAACCCACCTCTTGACCACCCCCGCCGCTTTTATTCGAATCGTTTTCCCCCCTCTCTTCCTCTCCATCGATTATGGAGGGGATACATGGTGGGCACGGAGGAGCCCGCCCATCCCAATCCATGGCTTTTCCTGGGTTCGAAGACTCCCACATGATGTCCGACGACTTCTCTTTCGACTCTCCCTTCAGCCCGTCCAACTCCTCCAATGTTAATGACGGTGTTCTCGGTGACTCCATCTTCCCCGAATGGACCAACGGCCGGGGCGACAGCCCCGATGAGATGCAAAGGAAAGATCCGCTCGCTGCTCAGATCTGGAAACTTTACACCCGCACGAAATCTCAATTACCCAACGCAGAGCGCATGGAGAATCTCACATGGCGGATGATGGCCATGAATTTAAAGCGCAAGGAACGGGAGCAACTCGCTCGGTAAGCAATTCCTGCGAATCTCCTAAGACAGGACTGACTTTTCCACACAGCGGGGAGATCAAGAGCCCGATACCGAGCGGCATCGCGCAGATGCGCTTGTCCGACCGAGCATCCACCGCTGACTCGAACCCTTCGCATGCGATGAAACACGATGCGACCCCAGATCCCATGAATCTGGATGACTTCATTATCCCCTTCGATTCTCCCGAGCACTCCTCCCATCCGCCTGCCGATAGAAACTTTACTGCGACGCCCACAGGGATCCCTATCAAATCCCGTAAGGATCATGCCATGATGGACGCATCGGTCGCCGCCTCGTTCCCCCACCCTCCCCAGGAGCAGCGAACCAATTCCGAATTTGGATACGTCCCCCGCCGGGTCCGCAAGACAAGCGTCGACGAGCGCCAGTTCTTCGCTGGTTTGTCGGCACCGACCCGAAAGCGCCCCGCAGAAGCCTCCCCCATGTTCCTCCGGTATCCAATGCCATGATGTCGCAGCACTCGGAACTGTCAGCCGCGCTTCCCGACTACTCGCTCGATCAGCCCTCGCCCTTCGCCGTTCCTAGCAACGGCACATTGGGCTCGCGCAGGCATCAGCATACGTCTTCTGGCCTGCCCTACGGGCTGGACACCTTTGGCATCGGCGAAGACCACGGGATCAATTCGGCCGGTCCCTATCAGCAGCACTTTACATTCTCGCCTTCAGAGTCCCCCATGACCTCAGGCAATCCATTTTCGAACCTGTATGCTCACACGCCACTCGCCTCGTCCCTCAACTCGACCGAATTCTTCTCACCCCCGCCTTCTGGTTATCAGTCCGCCGTGTCAACCCCACAGCCCATTTATGAAGGGGAGCAGTCGATGTTCTTCTCCGATGCGCCCTCGGCTGAATCTCACAATCAGCGCCGCATCCCCAGCTACCTTCAGCAACGATCGTCCAACTTGTCGGCGTCGCTGCAGCCTCGCTATATGTACAATGTGTCCAGTGGCGAGTCGCAGCCAGGCAGTGCAGTCACTGGACCACCGGCTCCATCGCACGTGTCTGGATTTTCCGTGCCGCAACCGCAGCATGTCAACCCGTCGCAGGTGCTTGGTTCTGGCGAGTATTCTACCACCGCGCCCGCTAGCAGCATGTTTACTTTCGGTGGGGACTCGGATAACGAGGACGACGATGGTAACTTTGAACGAGGGGGTATTGCTATGCCCAATGACTTCGCCTCTATGGATGAGTCTGGCGATATGAACGGTGGTCTCCAATGGGATGGAGGATTCCCCGGATCAGTCCAGTCCCTGCCAGGCTTTAGTGCTCAGCACCGCAAGCATGTTACCATCGGCTCCACCGATATGATCGATGGACCTTCCGAGTGGCATCAGGGAAGCACCCTTGGCCGTGGGCACGGATCTGCCGCTTCGGTGAGCGATGTGCGCAACCGAGACCAAGATCCTCGTCGTTACGGCAAGGTCCCGCGGACTTCGTCGACTCCCAACGCTGCTGCACTGCTTCGTCAAAGCTTGAATGGCTCAACCAGCGGTCCCCCGACAAACCACCCCTCTCCCAACACCCCTCCTGAGTCTGGCCTCAGCAGTGCTGTACCATCGCGACCAGCCAGCCCCGGTGGGTCGAAGAACGGCGACCCAAATGCCGGACCGACCACCTGCACCAACTGTTTCACCCAGACCACCCCTCTCTGGAGACGCAACCCCGAGGGCCAGCCGCTTTGTAATGCCTGTGGCTTGTTCTTGAAACTTCACGGTGTCGTGCGGCCACTCTCGCTAAAGACGGATGTTATCAAAAAGCGCAACCGTAGCAGTGCGAACACTCTTGCTGTTGGCACTTCTCGGTCGTCCAAGAAGTCTTCACGCAAGAACTCCATCCAACATGCTCCGTCTTCGTCGATTACATCGCGCGTCAACACCTCCGAGTCGCCACCATCCATTTCCGGATCGAGCGGAATGGGGAAACCCGGTGTTGTGCCTATTGCCGCTGCTCCACCTAAGTCTGGCCCCGTTGCTGGGGTGGCTCAAGCCCGTGCTGGCGTGCAGGTGGCTCCCAGACGGCAACGCCGACTCGAAAAGGCGCCGACCGGGTCGGAACCGGATGCAGAAGAAAGTCCAAAGTCGACTGCGCCTGCCAGCCGATCCAAGGTCGTGCCTTTGGCCCCTGCGATGGCCCCTGCTGCCGCCAACCCGGCCAACCACAGTATTGCTGGCGGGCAGGGTGCAAGCCAGGAGTGGGAGTGGCTGACAATGAGTTTGTAGTCGGTGCACTACCTTTCTTTTGCTTTGCTCCAATTCACCGGTGTGTGATGGGCCTGGGCCCCACTCCCTTAATCTCACGTATTACACGACTAATGTTCCCGGCGGTCGTCTTGCGTGGCTCTCTTTATACTCTCATGGCTTTCCTGATTATCCTATGTTACGTGTGTTTTTTTTGAATGATTGATACAATCGCGTCTGTCCGGAATCTGAGCTGCCTCTTCCTTTTCTGTCTTTTCTCCTTGTTTCCTTTTTACTGGTTTTGTCTTTTGGTTTTGTCGATATGCAGCTCGGAGCCGGTAGAAGTGCGCATCTCTCTCGTCTCTGTTTATTTGTTATTTACTCTTGGTTTTATTGCGCTGCTGAGCAGGCTTTGATTAATAGGTCTCGATATTTTTTTGTGATAATTTTTTTAGACCTGAACTTCAATATGATTATGATTTTATTCAATCTTCTTTCCTCGATTCTTGCAATGACCTCTAGTTTTCGGCACCAGTAAGGTAGTGAATTCTCTTCAGTCACACTTTGTTTGCCTTGATGATTGCCAGGCGTTCAGGGACTTCCAGATTAGTCCCTCTATTCAATAGTTTCGACCCTCAAGCTGATTCGATTAATCGGCCCCGCGCGAGCCACCCCCGAGAGCCTTAGCCACGGTTTCTTGTGCATATTGCAGCAAAGGCTTGCTCTTCTCCACCCCAAGGTCAGGCACCTCTCTCACATTGTCCTCCCGTAATTGCCATACACTGTCGGGAATATCCGACATACGACGAGATGTGGCCATTGTGTCTCCTGTGAAATGCAACGCCGTTGAACTAAATGCAAGACAAATCTTTCAATTTCGGCCACGCTGGGAGAAACATACCTGGTTGCAACTGGTTGGCGATTTTCTCGCGTGCGTGGCTGGCAGACTCGTGGACGTGACCGGCGGCTGTGTCTGTAGTATCTGTCTTTGTAATGAGATGCTCGGAGGCTTCTGCTGTGTGTCAGTGGGATTTTGCCAAAAAAAAAAAAAAAAAAAAAAAAAAAAAAAAAAAAAAAATGGGGCGTGGCTGACCATCTGCGCTTGCGATATCACCCTATGGACCACAAATTGTTAGCCTTGCTACAACCCAAGCAAAAAGGAATACCTTACTGCCATTCCATCCATAATGATCTTGGAGGAAATAGTTGATTTGATGCAGTACAAACTCACGGGCACCAGAGACACAACAATAGCCCGAGGTAACAAAGGAATTCATCAGGATGACGTGGAGTTCATACAGTCCCGGCTTTATTTCCGGGGAAGCTGAACCTGATGTCACTAGAAGGCAAGTCTTTGATACTATAGCAGAAGTTGAGGGAAGAAAGATCGAGTACAATCATCATCATACAGGAGCATATTATATACGGCAGGGGCCATAAGTGTGTGTATACAGTGCAACTGATGAAGTATTGGACTGTGTACACGAAACCAGCCTGGAAGCGAGTAACTTATGTTTCATACATTGTTTTCGGCTTCCTTTGGCCTCTCTTTTGCTTCACCTCTTTTTGTCCATTTCTAATACCTCACCTCGAATTGTATGTTAAAATTAGGGTGGTAACCATGTGGATTATATACAAGTTACAAGTGGGGATGCGAAAGGAGTTTCAGACAGACTACGGTATATATTCCTTAGTACTGATATACTAAAAGTCGAAGGCTCCAAACCACGGCCAAGGGTTTGAATGGTTCATGCATTTTCAATAGATAACCTACCTTATTTTATAGTAAGATACCCCTAAAAGAACAATGACCGCTCGATATCATCCAGCAAATCAGCGGTCATCTCGTTGGGACAGAAACCGATTATTGCACTCGCTTGAACCAAAGCAGTTGAGACATCCTGGACGTTATTCCTGAATTCATGCCCAAAGAAAGACCGTGGCTTCTCAGTAACACGCCGACAGTGCGGGCTCCGTGAACACATTTCTAACCCAAGCTTCTCAATATATTGCAGCATTGGAGCGAGCTGAGCTAGAACTTCGATAAATGATTCGCGTTGATACGCTTTCTCATATCTGATGTGGTCAGCACAACACTGGAGAACCTCTTTAAATGTGGCGCAATAGGTATCATATGCTACTTGGCTTTGCGGGGGTGGAGGAGTAGGAGCAAGAGGATTTGTGCAGATGCGAGTACATGAAGAACGCATGGTTTGGGGGGCAATGTGCTAGTAAAAAATACCCAATTGAAGCTTAAGAGCCTTGGATAACAATTGATTGTAGATTTAGGCTTGAGGAATGAGGAATGAGAATACTCATGATTTCAGTCACCTTTTATTTGTTCGAGCACACAAAGAGTTTGTCTGAGAAGGCCAGAGTAGACAAAAATAATCTTGGTCGACAATAAACGGACAATGAGGACAGCATCGCACAAAGACCTTTAACGTAAACATCCTGCATGATGTAAGTACTCCAAGGCGCTAAAGGCAGCAATCTGTTTCCTGGTTAAACTGAATGATTCATATATCTTCATTCTGGGCTTACCAATGACCAATACAGATCACTGAGAGCGATGTCGCAATAGAAACCGAAATGCAACCCACTGACGAAGTTGCTAAGAATCCAACCAGGATTCCAACATAATCCAGCTGGAGCATCATGTGGGCAACTAGCTCAGAATGATTTAGGCCGGTGCGATAGAACGTTGAGACCAACAGACATAGAAGCATTTAAGTGTAAAGTTTTGGTAAAGATACGAGGAGAGGGATGAGAAAGGGAAAGAAGAACTTTATCTCTATGTAAGTTATCTCGACTTCTTCTATTTAGCACCGAGGATATAGAAAAGTTGAAGGATGTATGATGGCCGTCAATATACTTCCCCTTTAGGTAATATTCTGCCTGGGGCATAAACTGATAAATCACGTGCGATAGCCGGAACAAAAAAAGCATCGACGGCGTTCAGTTTCACTCAACAGACACAGCCATGGGTTCCAGCGCCAAGAGAAAGAAGGAGAAACAGAAGGACTTCCAGGTGATACCAGCCGGTCATTGATTCTATGGGCTTGCTAACCTTCGCAGAAACCCAAACTCAAGGTCGGCAAGACCAAAGCCAAGCCCGAAAACTACACAGACACAAGTTTCCGATCAAAGTGTATGTGGTACTACTTTCGACTGGAGATCACTTTACTGAAAATTAGCAGCAATTGTCCTCACTCAACAGTCTCTTCACCTTGCCGCCCCATCTTCAAATACCCAATTCACGCACAACCTCTCTCTCCTCTCCGCCAAATCTGACAGCCAGCGCCGTGACTCGCTCGCATATCTGACGACTACGATCGCCTCTCGGCCAGTGGATTCACCGCTCCCACAACCAGTTAGCGTCATACTGCCCTCTCTGCTTCCCCTCATCCTCGATGGAACGACCAGTGTTCGGACGCAACTTCTGAAGCTCTTGAAGACCCTGCCGCGGGGCGATGTGGAGGATCATGTCGCACAGCTTCTCCCATATGTCCGCGCGGGTATGACCCATCTTGCAGCTGACATCCGTGTCTCCGCTGTGGAGATCTTGTCATGGCTAGTCGAAGCGGCGGGAGAACAAACAGTTTCCTGCGCCGGAGGCTGGATCAAGACACTCAATTGCTTCCTGTCTGTGCTAGGCTGGCATACAGAGGAGTCTTCACGTTGGTCATCGAACCGGGCTTCATTCGGAAAGTCTGGAAGCCAGGGTAGACCCATGGTCAAAGTGCTTGGGGCTCTGGCAGACTTTTTGGATGCGGGTATCGGAAAGCCTTCGACCAGCAATGCCGATAGTGATATGTCCGAGGATGATGTGAGCGCTGCATGGCCCTTTCCCCTTTGCCAGACAGCTCAGCACATGATCTCAGACTCGTCTGCTCCTTATGCGTACTTGAATCTGTTTGGACAGCCACGCGATGAGGAAGGGGAGATGTACGAGACTCGTGAGGATCGGTACCGTGTGTTCTCCGCCCGTTTCCATCCGGCAATGGAGCGTGGACTCAAGGGAGCCAGAGAGGAGGGTGGCGAAATGGGTCGTGCATCGACTAGCGTAACCAAGGTATTGAAAGAAGCCATTGCATACGGACTCGGGCCATGAACTTTTTGACAGGATTTCATGTGGAAAAAAACAACTTCATCCACTAGAATGGTACGGTTGAAGACCTCATTCGCTCAAACTTTGGCTGAGAGGACCGAGAGCTCTCGGGCTTGATCCGATTTGGCTCGACACCGCATGGTATTTTTCATTCTAGAGCGGGCCTTCGCAGCCACAATTAAAGCCCACGAAACGCATCGGCGTATTCCGTCGCCATGGCCATTGGCTTGTGATCCTCGAGGCTGCTTGGGCGACACATGCATATCAATACTCTCATCGAAGCTCCTATGAGACCGGATAGATCGGTCCGATTACTAGTGATACCATAGAAGCTTGATCTCATTGAAACAAAATAAATGCAAATGCAAATGATATTATATCGACAACACTCAAGTAGTTCTCGCATTTCAGTATAAAACATGGAGTTTATATACCCAAGGCTATGCAGCCTTTTCCATGTCCATTTTCTTCTCATGTGTGTCCGGGACTGCTTCTTTCCTGTCTAAATCATCCGTCTCCAGCCCTTCCACCACCATGCCTCTCTCCTCGTAGATTTCATCGGGTAAGATAGCGCGGTCAATCTGAGATTCGCGGGCAGGGAAAAGCCATGAGAGGCCTAAATAGACAATAGTTGTGGCAACAAAGCCCAATAGCCATCCAAACTCATACGGATGTTCACCGACTCCAACGTCAATATGGGCATTGACAGCATTAATCAAACCCGGGATACTCGGCACAACACCCACAAGGAAAGCCGCCACAGCTCGCCAATTCACTCCGGAAACACTCTTACCGGCGAGACCGGGGATAGAGAAGGTATACCGATAAATCGGGTTCCGAGGCTGGTATAAAGCAAGAGAATCGTATCGGCGGCGGTTGATAACCCAGAAATCGAATAGCATGATAGAAGCAATGGGGCCGAGGAAGATAGCATAGGCAGACATGAAAGTAAGGAAGTTTCCAGCGGACTCGAGGATCTTCCACGGAACAAGGCACCAGGACAGCAAGGCGCAGAGAATTTGCCCGCGTCGGATGTTGATATACTCTGGTGCTAGTGCGGTGAAGTCATTAGCAGCGGAAAGAGAGTTGGCAGAGATGTTGACTCCGAGGGATGCCAGTGCAAAAGAGAATCCACCGAAGAATCGACAGGCACGGTTAGGCCAGTAACTAATTAGCACTGTTGGATCCCAGGGAATAGAGTCGAGATTATAGTGGGATTGGCCCGCAGACGACGCAGCAATTCCGATGAAGGAGATGAAGGTGAAAACAATCGGTAGCATAGGGACATAGAGGAGTTGCCACCGGGGACTGACGCGAGAATAGCGAGAGAAGTCAGACTATAGAGACCGTTAGTTGGTTTATCGTTGCAGCATATTATTAGAACTCACCTGGTTGACACTCAGGGTGGCATAGTTCCCCAAAACCGACGTCATATTGGCCAAGAACAGCCAGCTATACTTTGACCCAGAGACAGACGCGCTCTGCTTTGTAAAGATGCCACCACCGCCCTTTTCAGCGACAAAGGCCCAGATCAAAATGGCAATCCAGGCGATGGGAACGAGCACCGACTTGATAGTAAACAGCCAGCGCAACCTGTTTGGATGCATACACAGGAATGGAACCTGGATTAGCCAAAAGATGAAGAATGCAACCATGCCGTTGGTGGTAATACCCTGAGACTCTGGGATGTCGTTTGGAAGATCCAAGTAACTCGGCCAGATGGCACCGATCATCACCCGAACAGCATTCCCACCATTGACATTCTGGATGGCAAACCAGAAGATAGCAAGAATAACACGTGAAATGATAGCAATATATGAGCCCCAAAAGCCCCAACTGGCACGAGCAATGACCGGGAACGGCACATGGTAGATCGCGCCTACAGCACCGTTGGCAGCAATAACGAACGACATAATAAAGAAGGACAAGGCGACAATGCCCAGAGCTTCACGGTAGGTCAGACCGACGGCAATAATACTACTAGCAAATTGCCATGTCGCCGCGTTAAAAGCGTCCGAAATCCAATATGCTAATGTGATACGTTATTAGCTTTGACTAGGGTATTCTCCAAGGGCGTGAGTACCTATAAGACTGGAGACTCCCCATTTGCGCCGACCTTTGGGAATTGGATCCAGATCACGATTTGTCCATCGAGCATTGCCCATTGCAAAGGCAGATTCGGTCTGCGAGACCCGCAGATGGGGTCTCGAGAGGCACATGTTGAACTTCATGTGGGCCTATAGATCTGGAGGGAATAAGGGCCAACTCCGGTCCAGATCTGAGACGGATGGTGTAAGAATCAAATGCAAGGAAGAAGATATGTTCCTTTTATCCCTGTGAACCCCGGACAGCCCCGAGAAGTGGCAGAAGTACAGTTGATAAGCATGATAAGCTTAATGATAAGACCGGCGAATGAGATGAGACTAAAGTGGCAGTTCGTATATCTTCGCTCAGACCGTTAGTATATTCTAGTTTATCATGCTATTACCGTGATATATTATAGTGATATTCCATATAAAGTTCATGTTCTCAACCTTGGAAGTACAGTCAATTATCATCAATCATTGCCCATCTCAGTGCTTCTCTCCCGGCAATCGCACATCTCGCCATCCTCGACCGTCACCTACACCCTCTACGCTGCCGTGTGGTCGGATCCCTTTCCACTCCGTGACATTCATCCACCCAATCTGCTGCACGTCCCCGAATCCACCAATCCAGTATACGTGGGTCACCACCAAGCGCGCCCAGAAACTCGCGTGGGGAGAGTAGGAAGCGCCAGGAAGCCAGACCTTAGCATCAGGATGGGACTCCAGAAAACATTTCTCAAGGGCTGCCGCTGCGTCGTCGGGAAGAGGGGCCGGGAGGGTATCCAGGTACCCAAAGAGGGTAACGCGAGGCAGAGCAGCCGGACTCAAGGGAAGACCAGGATAAACCGGGCCTGCCTCGTCAAGATGATCCCACCAATCCAGCTGGAGACTGAGATTCGACCCCGCAGCGATGTTCTTGAATGTGGTTCCAATACGAAGCCCAAGGACCGTCGGATCGCCGTTGTCGTCGTGCGACATATCAGAGGGCTCTCTGCCCTCACAGTCGGCGATATATTCGCGAAGCCCGATAGAAAGACCAGCAAGGTCGGAGGGGGCATGTGCGGAGGGTGGGATCGAGTGGGGGAAGTTGGTGGTAATAACGCCGGAAGGGGCCAACGCAAGAAGGCGGCGGGCCATCAAAGTCGAGGTGAACCATGATGGACGGGTGAGAACGCCTTCATCTTCGGTAGACACGGCATCATGGCTGGAACTTGAGCTATCTTCTTGTCCTAGGAAAGCCTGGAGGGTATCCGAGGTGGGGAGGACAAAGCCGTTGACCGTGAGGGGTGAAATGAGGGCGAGAACGCCGGTGAGGAACGCGGCCGGACTAAAGACCATCATGACAGATATTCACGTCCAGGTAGATACGTGAGCATCGAAGCAGAGATCACAGAAAGGAAAAGAGAAGAGAAGACTGCACACGGGAACCGGAAAGTGCGGAGACGAGCGGAGAATATCAGCTGATGCGATCTTATCTGATCGGATCACCTGATCCGGAACTATACTGATCCTGCGCAGAGGGGTCGGCCAAAAGATCATATGTTAGCATGAGTCGATCTGGCAGTTTGCAACCTGTCTATTAGGTGGGTTTGTATATACATGTAGAAGACCCACGATCATATGGCGTTGAGTGCCCCCTACATACCACTCCGATGTAACCCGAATTTTGGGGCGTCAACTGATCTTCTTGTCACACCATTATTATCGTGTTGGACAGTAGCACGGCTGTAGCTCTCATATTTTCTCATATTTTCTAGCATATTAGTAGCATGTGCTGTAATCATCTTGTAATACGAGACAAAATCACTGGAGGTTCAAGCTCACTTCCGTATTCAAAAAAACAATCTCTTTGGTTGTAGGATGGACGCCTGAAAAGTAAAGTCCATAGCATATCAAGTATGGATTTATGATCAGGACGTTCCCTAATAAGCGTTGTTCTGGAGTTTCCCAGCTAAAAGTAGAGTGGCTTGGCAGTTTGATAGAAAACCTAGCTTTCAGACATCCACATGCTCATATTCATATCAGTAACTTATCAAGAGGTCGTGCGTGTACCAAGGCCTTGATTATCTTTCACTGATCCGACCTAACATAGATATACTGTAATTAGGGCTGCTAAACTCAGCCAAATCCTGCTCAAAATAGTATGGTAGATCTATACACACATATAAGCAATCTCCGAACAGGGTAATCCCGCAAATACGTACCTTCAAATCATACAAAGCCAAGCATGTCATACTTGGAACCCATGGCTTATGTCCAGTTCTATAGATAGCCTCTAGGGCTGTCGACAAAGGGCTGAGTCATGCTTCGCCACAGCCACCGCGCTTGGAAGTGGAGAAGGTCCGAATGAGTCATTCAGTTCCAGGGATGCGCGGTCAGACTGCATGGCTGCCTACTGGAGTCTTAAGGTGGCACCGATATCGCTGATTGAAGCTGTATTGATTTGGCTATCCTATCCGAGGGCAAAGGCCCCCGGGGGTGGCATACATACCAAACCCCCTAGATGGAGAGTTATACAGCAGTGGAGACGCCCGCTCCCAGAAAAGCATAAAGACCATAACCATCCCAAGCCGACCACACTCCGTACGCAACCTCGTATAATAGAAAATAGGGTAAAAAGTGAGAGAACAGATGCACGATGCAAGTAAAGACGCGCCAGTCATCACCTCATCGTACACTGGGCGTGGGAATCAAACGCCCAAGCCCTGCGACCGAGTGCCCAAGAAAATAGGGGGTATGTACAGGAACACATCGGATCGCTTCGCTGGAAACCAAAAAAAAACGACGGACTTTTCTTTTTAGTTTGACCTCGCACAAAGGAAATAGAAAAGACAAAGATCCGCTAAAATATTGCAAGTCAATTCAAGAACTCAGCAACGCGTAAGGTCGGATTCATAGCGACCTTGCGTGCTTCACTGCCGCAGCAGGCACGTTTCATGCCGACTGGTCCTGAGACGGGACCAGTTCGCTGGGAGATAGTATTATTCTCATGTTGCATCATAAACGAGTGCGGTAGCTGACCATCGGGCAACACGGTGTGTTCACCGGAGGCACCGAGATTCATCAGGTGGCGCACATGGTTCTGAAGCAGTTGATCATCAGATCCAGTGCGTCCACGTTTCCGGCACTGACGCCGCTCTGGCGTAGCACCGGAAAGTTCGCAGAGACTCTGAGCGGCTTCATTCAGACTGGGATCCAGGGAGAATGCAGACAGGTCGGGGACTGAGGAACCCATAGAACTGGGGTATTCAGGAGAGCTGTAGACACCGACTCGAGAAGTCTCATCGATTGGTGAGGCGATGGCCAAGGTCTTCCGGGACTCCTTCAGGGAGTTGCTGGTGCAGCGCAAGGTAGCCTTGACGGCCAGACGAGCTGGTGCAGACCCGCAGGTTCCCGAGGCATTGGACGAAACCGACGACGAGCGCGATGAGCGGGACGACAGGGTTGACACATCCGATACCATAGATTCGGGAGATGAAGCCGAAGAGGTCGAGCGAGCCAAAGATGACCGGCGAACCGTAGCCGGGTAACCATCGAACGACTGAGACCGAGGGCAGAATGACAGAGGGGGCGCTGATCGAGCGTCGATCGCGCCATGCACGCATTCTGCGCCTGGTACATAGCCGAACTGATAGCTGAGCGACTAGAGTAGGCAGCCGCACTCGCAGCGGGAGTGGAGGCCACCTGAGATTGAGGAGTCATCTGAGGCGTAGGAAGCATAGAAGGACGCGGGACCCCGGGTAGAGCCAGGCTCGGAAGCTCCATGCGCGGAGTCGGCTCCAGCGTCCGGGGAAGACCCCGTGGGCAGGAAGTCCGCTCGCGAGAGAGATACTCGTTGCTCGGGATACTGCGAGGTGAGGGAGACTCGGACAATCCAAGGTCCATCCCCATAGCAGGAACCGGGGTCATCGGCTCTGACTCTACAGAGTCCAGTTCAGGAGTGAGTCTGGGTAGGACCGTCTGCCAACACTGACCTTCAGCAACCGGAGGACCACCGGCACCAGGAGTCAACTTCAAGACCAGATCGGTCCAGCGCTGGAAAGTCGCTTCGTCGATATGCAGGCGCCATCCGACGGCCTTGAGGAACATCAGTTCATTCTGGTTGATCTCCAGAGTGTTGAGACCAGAAATCTTGCTCCAGGCACGAGCGGAATAATTGCGGTCCTGCAGATACTTGGAAGCGAGAATCAGCGCCGCCAGGAACATCCGACGCCCACACTGCATGGCCCGCAAGAGCGACTGATCCCGAGGCTGCTCCTTGGTAAAGTCATGAGTGGGCACGTGGGGCTTAATCTTAATCAAATAATACAAAGCCACCTGCAAGGTACTATAGCTAGTACGCGAGCGTCGGAGTGTTTCTTGAATGAAGATGCGGAGGGGAAGAACGCCTTTAGATCCAGTCGCAGCATCACTGCGGGATGCTGCGGCGGACAGAGGCCAGATAGTCTCTACGATCTGGGACGCGGTATCTTGTAGATGTTTTAGCTGAGCGTTCGAGACCTTGTCTTGTGTTCAAGACTTACCGACGAGATTATCGACAAAGTTCACCTTCCGCTCGGACTGGCGGAGCAGACAGGGCGGAGGCCGCGCGCTGGGAGCGCTAGAGGCATAACTGTTAGTGCGTCGAGGATGCGTTCGCAACTCGGACGGCACCACACCATCCCCCTTGGGGGCAGATCCTTTGCAAGGCCGGGAGCAAAATCCGGTACTCCTTTGACTGTTTCCTTCATTGTCCCACACATCAACGGGGTTGGTGGAGGTCGACGAGATGGAGGAGATGCAGTCGAGGGAGAAGACGGAGGAGGAAGAGGAAGACGCGGAGGAGATCGAGGAGTAAGGGTGAGCGTGGTGAGACGCTGTCAATTGAGAGCCTGAGTTTGAAGCGTTCAAACCCAAGACGTCCATCCCTGACATATCCGGGTTCATTTCGGATAGGGCGAGATGGGCCGATTTGTACCGTGTGAAGAAACCGTTAAGCAGGAAACCGGGAACGAGGGCCGAGGAGACAAAGCCGTCTTTTGCGACGTAGGCGACGGCAGACCTTTAGTAGAGAGGCGCCAGGTTGGACACTGGACGTACTCGGGGGAATAAGCGGAACCACCGGGTAGAAGTGGCGGAGAGTAATAAGTCAACTAAGTAAAGAGAAGACGAAGGACAAGGCAAGACAAGACCAGACAAGACAATAAACAAGAAATAGAAGAAGGGTATTCACGATCCGATCACCAAGTGCTATATTACGTGGCGAGTGACTCTTTTTTTTTCGATGATTCAGAAGCCAGAGGCGAGGTCGGTAACAGCAGAGGCGATCGGGTCGGAAGAGGCAATAGGGTACATTTTGAAGAGAAAGTAACTGGCAAAGAACTGGGCACTCAACGGAGCATGAACAGGCAGAACCACGCTGGTGGCTGCTTGTTACAGGCAGGCGTTGAAGTGACTAGGCAGAGAGGGAGCGGAGAGAGAGAGAGTCGGGAGGCTAGAGAGGGGGGGGGAGAAAGAGTCAGTGGGGGGAGAGTCACACAAAGAGAGTTGGAGATGGAAGAGGAAGAGACTATTTAGGCTCACCTTATGACTCTTTGGACTTACAGAATCTGTTGTGACTAAGAGGGGGGCAAAAAGGGAGAGAAGTTGTGGCGAGAGAACTGGGTGGCGGGAAGGGGCGCAGGGACCACTCGGGGATATACTTGATATACTTGGATATACTAGAGTAGTATAGAATGATCTCTATCGAGAATATAGCATAAAGTTATAGAATAGAATATTCTCTGCACTCTGTACTCTACCTACCCTGGAGAATGACTTAGGTGCCTCCCGGTGAGAGAGGGAAAACCCGGATGCGGCCAGAAGGGTCCGAGATAGGAGTGACTCAAAACGTCTATACCTCTATCTCTATAGAAACGATAGAATAATTAGAGATTACTTAGATACTAGATATGATATTGGCTATTTGCTGAACTGAATATTCATATAATATTAGTACACCACTTTGCCTAGAATGACCCATGTCTGTGTAGCCCAACCAATATTAACTTAAAATTCAAATGGAGAGAGGCAAGAGGCAGAGTCGGCACTGAGTCATAAAGGCGCTTGCCACGTCTTCCAATCCACGCGCTGTGGCTCCACCGGTTCCGATTTACCTCAAGTCCTATTGGCCACGACTCCGATCGGCGCTGTAGTCTCTCAGGGCTGGGGAATTTTGGACTCAGATGACCTCACAGGATTAGGCGGAAATGAAAGAAGTACAGGTATTTTCTAGAAATATCTTCTTTGTATACGTCTAAGGGCGTATGTACTGTACTTCCACGCGAAGAAAGCATTCACGCACAAACAAGTTGGATTAGCATAGAGCATCGAGTATAAGTTACTCCGTACACTACATGTATCTACACTTCCTCTCGCAGCAATGCTACCAGCCCCTGCACCTCGGCCTCTGTCCCGGTCAGCATAACCGAACGAAATATTGAATGGGCCACTCACCAGTGTTGTAATGCAGCAGGCTGACCCGCACCACCCCATCCTCCACATCCGGCAGCCCGCATACCTCGGCCAGCAACCGGTGGCTGTACATATGACCACTGCGGAATCCAAACGCCGACCGGCGCTCAACTGCTTCTACCAGCTGTTGGCTGCCCACACCCTGTACGACAAAACTGATGACAGGTACACGGAGCTCCTTGCGTGCCGACGGTTCCCCAATAATAGTAATACGGCTATCGGAAGCCAAGAACTCAAGGAGGATCTGCTGCAGCCGCTCTTCATGCTCCGCCATCTGGGCCCAGCGTGTGCTAGGCTCGGGGCCAAAGTACTCCGCCACGCGGGGAATACTCTGAGTGAGCTCGTAATTTGCTGATGCAAGGTTAAGCTTCAAATCCAGGGTGTTGGTGGCCTTGAAGAAATGCCCCAGCGACTGGATCTGGTCATGGATGCGTGATGAGGCATATAGTTGTGCCAGGTGTGGCCCATACACCTTGTACCAGGAGAAGGCCTGGACAGATCAGCGAACCAGTTGAACATGATCGTGGTTGGGCACTTACGTAGAAGTCCACATCCAAAGCCTTCACATCAACTTGACGATGGGGTGCCAAAGCCACTCCATCCACACATAGCAGTGCCTATTCACTTGGTTAGACATTGGTACAGGTATAGTGGTAGAATACATGGGATCCTCACACGAGGATATGCATGGACCGTGTCTGCAATCTCTCGGACCGGGCTGATGGTGCCGGTGATATTGGATGTGTGCGGGCATGACACAAGCCGAGTCTTATTGGTGAGCAGAGTCTTCAACTCAGCCGGGTCACAGACGGGGTTCTTTGGATCAGAAGCAGCCCACCACTTCACCCTCAAGCCCAACCGCTCTGCAACCTGGATCCACGGGGCGATGTTGGCCTCATGGTTGAGTTTGGACAGGATGAGCTCGTCACCAGGGTGGAATGTGAGAGCTATAGAGATGTTGTGCAGTAGCTGGGTGGTTGAGACACCAATACTGATCTGTTTAGGCTGTTCTTATCTTTGTTCGGGAATATATATGGTTAGGCCGTAGTGGAGATATACCTCTTCAGTTGCCGCATTGATGAATCCAGCAGCCACCTTGTATGCGTTCGAGTATGCATTTGTTGAAGACTTGGACACTCCATAGGTGGCACCAAGCTGGACATTCGTGTTCAAAAGGTATGAACGGATGCTTTCCGTACAGCCGAGTTAGTATACCGTATACATCAACGTTAACTTAGTCCAGAGTAGCCTTACGAGTCCGCCACGGTATCGAGAACCTGACTTCCACCTGTTCTCAAATACAGTATTAGCTTAACTCATATCTCTCGTATATTTGTGATAGACCGAAACTCCATATCAGTGCAACCAACCTGCATTGTCCATAAACACCTGTTCCTGCTGCATTGCAGGGAAGCGAGCGCGAGCTGCTGTTACATCCAGAGAGGCCATGTTGAAAATAAATAGATTTGAGTAATCGTACGAATAGATGCAGTATCACCTTGGTAGAATTGGCGAAGTGTACATATACTTGACATGGGCCATGGCCGCTGAGGGGTAACCCAGTGGAGTTGATAGCGGATTTTACTCCGATTCCTTGCTTGACATAACTAACTTACGGAGTACAGTACATGTACTTCGGTTCGCTCCTTGGCCCTTGACATGTCAACTATGTGATCAGCGCAGGAAACTGGCCAGCAGATCCACAAATCCACCTGCAGCGATATACACCCGTAATAGCAGTCTAGCACTTGTTCTAATGGCACCAAAACAGCACCTCTTCTATACAGTGAACAGGAAGCCCTACAAATCAATAGAGCATAGTAAGACGAGTATCAAATGCGATGGTTCTGCTTCCATCGGGTATATGTATGAAGTCCAAAGCCACCAAACCCCCGTAAAGGCACAAGAGAAAGCCGAAAGACAACAGAAAGTAAACCTATTCACACAAAGCAACCAATCCGTTACCGGGAGCGTGTACTTGTCGCCCCGGGCCCAGGAGCAGCATCATGTACAACACACAGCAGGTACTTCCGGTCTGGCACGACAACAATCTCATGTTTCCGAGTGCGCATCCGAAGCAACTTCACCTCATCATCCTCTTCCCGATCACCGGCATCCCCATCCCGATCGTCCTCGCGCGATGTGCCCTTTCCAATCCCATAGTCCTGGCCGACCTCCCTCGTAGGAGGGACCTCGTCAATAGTAGGTCGCGAGAGCGAAACACCTAGCGCAGAAGCACTGGACACAAAGGCGAAGATATGAGCAGCTAGTGCCTCGGTTTGAGAGGGCTGGTATGACTGTGAAGGGGCGGCAAGAGCAGGTGAGGCAGGGGATGAGTCGGTGGATTGAGCGGAGAGAGGGTTCGATTCGGAGGTAGAAGGGATTTGAGCGGTGCGAGAGGATCCATTTTCTTCAGAGGTTGGTACTGCTAGCTGTCCTGTGCTTTGGATGATGGAGCCGTCTTTGCGGGAGAGGATCAGGGTCGATTGCACGCCCGGGCGGGAGGTGAGGTGGGAGAGCAGCGCGGTGACATGTTGAGGGACCTGCTGGGTACGCTGCTGAGATTGTTAGCTAGGGACTATTCGAGAGAAGCTGCGACTTACTGTCGCGTTCGCCATGGTTGGAGTTCAGGGAACGTGAGGAGCCTTGGTATGTGTGGAAGGTTGCGGGGGTGGATTAGACAGATGAGCAGCTTATAGCCCTCTGACTTCTGTTTCTAGTCGAGTTCGCTTCAGAATTGAAGCAGGGATTCAATGTTCATCTGTTCACAGTTCAGCGCTGGAGCACTTTGCCTAAACAAATGACTAAGCAGGGTGTTTCCCCTGTGAATCTTACCTCAGTTACCTCAGCCGCCCCCAAAAAGGCGGTGAATTTGGCCATCCACCGCCTGCTGTTTCCAGCGATGCTGACACACCTTTTTTGGGGAACGTCTGAGCTGGGAATTTGGTGGTACCATACAAGTTTCCGGGGTTTTTGCCCGTGTTTATATGGCGAAGTTTCCAGGCGCGTCTTTCAATATTTCCAAGTTTCTCGCGCACCCACGCGAATATTAAGAATCGGGCGACGATGTCTTCTGCATCTTTCTGAGCTGAACCCATTGACACCAAAATTGTATGTATAACTGGAAAGGTGGGTGAGAAATATGTCCTTAAAATACCCGAAGGAACCCTTTCTTAAGCTGTCAAAGCCATTATATGCCCCAAGTATTCCGCCAAAACCTCCATGAAGCATATATTGACATATTTTAATGTATAGTGGCTACATCTGATCCACAATATTAACTCTATCGCGTGAGAATTGACTCCAAACCCGCCTCACGATGCCAGATCGACGCCCATCACGACGGAAGCCTCCTCGGAAATATAACGCGAAACTGAACGACCCCGGAAATGGACAGACACAGTTGGATAACTGGTTGGCCTCTGAGAATAATCGACCTTCTTCAAAGGCTGGAGAGCCTATTGAATTGGGAGTGGAGTACGAGAATGAGGGCGCAACTGTCTTGCTGGAGAAACAACAAGTTGAGAAGAATTCAGTTCTTCAAGCGCAGAAACTGATTCGCGATGCGTCTGAGAAGCGTAAGGATGAACAGGACCAAGCCATCAGACAAGCAATTCGAGAGCTGTATCCCTATTATCCACGTGCGGGTCAGTTGCAAGCATTGAGACAATTGATCTACCTGAGAAAGGACCTTATCCTGATTGCGAAGACGTCATTTGGGAAGAGTATGATATTGCAAGCAGTGTCACTCTTGCTTGATAAGTCTATCACCCTTGTTGTGCTTCCATTGAATCAAATTGGCGTTGAGCAGACCAATTACATCGAGAACATTGGAGGGCGACCTTGTTTCCTAAACAGGGAAACATTCTCATCCGAACTTCTTGACAGGGTACAAGCGGGCAAGTTCACACATGTCCTCGTGAGTCCAGAGCTTGCAATCAGTGACAAGTTCCGTTCAACTGCTATGCATCCAGGTTTCCGAGACCGGCTGGCTCTGGTTGTTGTAGACGAAGCTCATCTTGTGGCTCAATGGGGCAAAGATTTTCGAACGGACTATGCGCGATTGCATCAATTGCGAAGTCTATTCGGCAGTGGCGTCCCCTGGTTTGCATGCTCTGCTACGCTTGATATGAATACATTGCGCGTTGTTATTGAGGGACTTGGGTTTCCAAAGGATGTTGAAATCTTGCGGACATCCGTCAATCGTCCAGAGTTGCTCATTCAAACAGCTTGGATCCCACAAGGCGCGCATAAGAAGGCAACGGCCTTGCGTTTCCTGTTTGACAATGGTCCTTGTCAGCCCATTTTACGACCGTCACGAATCCCAAAGACATTGGTATTCTTTGACTCGAAGAATGATGCATATACTGCCATGGAAAATTGTCGGTATTGGCTGCAGCATAACAAGCAACCAGATGGGGCAAGTGTTCAACATTGCAACTATACCCTCAAAGAGGCAATGGATACGGTGAAGGTCTACCATAGCGACACCGCAAAGGGAGACAAGGAAGCAATGATCAAAGAGCTTCAGAAACCCGGACCGCAATCCAAGCTTCGTGTCCTCATGACCACCGAGGCACTAGCGCTCGGAGTGGACCTCCAGGATATTGATCAAGTTGTCATGTATCGGTTCCCCAAAAACCTACAACCAGCAACGCTCTGGCAACGCGGTGGTCGGGCATCTCGCCTTGGACAGGATGGAAAGATCGTTATTCTCGTTGATCAGTGGATACAGGGGCGTATCAAGAAACGTGCCGTGAAACGCAAGATTCATACAGAAAATGATGATCTAGCGGAAGACAACCCACTGGCCGATTCAGATGATGAAGTCAAAGAAGCAAACCCTGAGAGACCACAGAAAGGTGGACGCTTAAGTCATGAAGAGCGACGTGCTGTGTTGCCTGAATTTTGGTATCTCCTTGCCAATGAGCCTACAGAATGCCTCCGGAAACGGTTCCTGGACTACTTCAATGAACCTGAAGAGTTCAGATGTAATCCTCGGCGTGACCGGTGCTGCAGCAACTGCAATCCTGAGTATCAGCTCAATGATCCAACTCGTTATCTGTATACTGAGCACGGTCCGAGGTCAGGACAGATGGACGAGATAATCATCAACCAGTTAAAATATTGGTCCAAGGAGGTCCTTTCAAGCGCTTTGAACGGAGTGAAGTTCATACCTGATTGCTCAAGCATACTGGCAGAAGAACAATATGTCCATCTTGCGATATATATTGAAAATGCCACCTATTCGGAGCGGGAATATTTCCAGGCAAAGGATCTTCAGACAATATTGGGAATATGGGCTTTGTCGAATCAGCTTGCTGAGGGTCTTGTGGATGTCTTGAAGAATGCATATCAAGCAGCCTTTATGGCCACTATTCAAACCCCTGCAAAGAGGAAGCGTGTGTCGAATGACTCTAGTCAAATGAGTGAATGCAGCAACCTCACATGGTCTTCTGCAGTCACGCCAGAAAGCACCAGTCAACCAACTCCATCTCGGAATATCTCTCCGTGGGTTGATATTAACACGCCATCCCAAGCTTTTATGGACATGCCTCCTCCTTCGGCAACTCCAGTTCCCAAACGCAAGGCCCTCGGTGTGGTATCAGGAAATGGGCGTCGCGTGATGAAGGGTGGAGAAGACCTAGGTTCTAAGGTCTGGTAGAGAATGATGAACAATCCATCTGATGCATTCCATCAATGTGTGTCAGTCACCTTATAATATAGCGTGGGAGTATTATCAATGGAATGAAGAGAAGTATAGCTAAAGCTGTCCCGGCAGCAACCTGCTATTCAGTGTCATGTGTCATTCTCTTCAATCTCATCTAGAACAGCAATAGGAGTCGATGTCATCTTGCTAAAATCAACTTCTTGTGCCCACTGTCCGTTGACGACGAGGCTATTGAAGTTCTGTACGGCTTTGAAGAGCTTTTCGCCAATTGTTTCTGTGAGTATATCACATGGTTGAAAGCCTCTTGTCCGACCATTTGGTTGCTTTTGGATGCACTTCGAGATCTGATAAGCTAGATGACGAACATCCTGGCTAGCATCCTTATTTTGGTGTCGCCCATTGCTATATTCTCCAAAGGTAGCCTCCAGAAGCTCCTTTAGATCAGTACAGTAGCTGGCTGTGAGAGCAGTTCGACGGAACATGGTAGTGATGTCCAGATTTGAGGTCCGTCGAGTCGACATGAGTGTCTTCATATGAAGATTGAAGAACTCATTCAGTCGATCAATTTCGAACCAACCGTCCTCCGCACCCCGTAGATTCACAAGTCCGTTGGCAAGAATGGCAGTCTGCAGCTCGGGATCAGCTGCTTTGGTTTGAGTGAGCCATGTCATATACAAGGAGAGGAAAGAATATCGGGTTTTCTTTGTGCCAGGGAAGAGGAGACAACATTGTGCAAAGATCCGCTGGATAATTCCAATGTCACCAAGTTTGATGGCAAGCTTCAAGGACTTGTAAGTCTCCATCTGCTGAAGGAATTTCGCATGTGCTGAG